CAAAACCAAGGCAGTGTTGGACGATAGACAAGGTAAGCTGGCAAATTGAAAAGGAAAAATTTGTGGCTTACAAAAAGGTCCCATAAGATCAAATGCCACCAACTCAAATGGACGGGAAACTGTAATTAACTCCAACTGTCCTTCCGCGGCACGAGAGGGAGTATTATGAGCTTGACACCAAACGCAGTTACACACATACTAAATAATATCTTGTAGCATCTCTGGCTAATAAAAGACCTACACAGCTTCTCGGTCACATAACGATGTCCCATATGCCCACATAAAATAAAAGAATCATGGTAGACATGGAGAAACCGTGGAATAAAGATGGAAGGCACCACTAGCCGTAAAGGATCATTAGGAGCTGTCCCCACAAAATAAAGAAGGTTATCTTCAAGGCTATATTGAGAATGTAAATGTTAGAATGGCAAGTCATCAGCAAGTGATGCAGGATTCTCAAACCCATCTCGAAGCCTTCGAATCTACAGTTCAATTTTTTGAGCCTCGTGAACCTTATCAAGAGAAGGTAGATCTTGCTTTGCACCTTGTGGACACTGAACATTAGGCATAGCAACCGCCGATGGCACAGAATCTTTGTCAAGAAAATCCATAGATGCTAGAACAACAGGCTCATAAGAAACATGAGAAGAGAGTGAAGAAGGAAGAGGAGCTAAAGAAAGGGCATTAACATCAGCCATAGAACTCCCTAGGCGATAAATAACATCAAAATCATATATCTGAAGCTTCAAAACCCACTGAGCAGTACAACCAACTAAGTTCTTCATCTTCAATAATGAAGTAACGGCAATATAATCATTGTAAAAAACTAAAGGGAATGACTCAAGAGATGATCCATAAGGGTTTAAATATAGAGGGAAAGGGCCCATGAATAAAAGTGCACCCCCTTTTTCAATCGGTTAAGGGTCTTGGGATACTTAGGGTTATGCGTCTTTGGGTTTGAATAATATTGGGCTAGATAACCTCCCAAAAAGTCTAAATTCAGAAGTTTACATTTGGTATCAAAAGGGTCTTAAGTCCAACTTTATTGGCTGACTAAGGGAATCACACCACATATTGATTGACATTTGACAGGTCTAATTTAGGGTGTCAAGAGAGCCGCTCTTAAGAGAGCTATAGCTCTCAGCTTCCGTTCACGAGGGCGTGAACTTATAGGGAAGCGTGGTGAATTGTAAGTAACCAAAGGGAACAACTCGAAAGACAATCTATAAGGGTTCAAATATAGAGGGAAAGGGCTCATGAGCACTTTACGAATATCACAGATGTATTCCTCCCATATCCCCTCCGAGTGGATCAAAACATCATCAATGAAGTCAATAGTCACTTCTAGCATATCACAAAGAACCTCATTCATCATCTGCTGAAAAGTTGCTGGAATATTATTCAAACCAAATGGCATCACCAAGAACTCATACAAACCACATGGTGTACAAAAAGCAATCTTAGGAATATCTTCTTCAGCCATCGGTACTTGCTAGTACCCAAAAGCAAGATTTAGTTTGGTGAAATATCAACTTCTTCCCAGACGACCTAAAATATTAGTAATATGAGGAAGAGGGTACATATCTGTGATTGTCACTTTGTTTAATAGACAATAGTCGATGCAAAAATGAATACTCCCATCAGGCTTTATCACAAAATGAGGTTCATATGCTTAAAGACTCTACGACTTTTTAATAACACCTTTTTCCAACATATTTTTGACATTTGTATATAAAACCTTGATCTCTTTGAGTGACTAACAATGAACAGAAACCTTGATTAGATAAGCATCCCCAGTTGGAATCGGATGACATATGGCAATCTTAACCCCAGATGATAGGTCAAATTCAAAGAGATTGGTATACTCCTTCATGAGCCAGTTAATTATTGCAACACAAAGACTATCGGAGGGATCGGAAAAGGGAAGAGTGAAACAAAATAGAAACATAGGAGGAAGTAGTGGAAAAACAAAAGTAATGGAAACAAAGGTAAAAGCAAAGGAATGAAAAAGTACAAAAGTGAGAGGAATGGATGAAATATAAAAAAGAATGAGACAAGGGGGAGAAGCTTCAAAATTATATTTGGCATGATTGTGCTGTAATCAATCCATACCAAGGATGAAATTAAAAGTTTGACTTGGCACCACTTGCAATGACTACAACCCAAACTCGAGATCGCCTACACACAACTAGGTTCGCCTCATCCCATACACATGTATGTGTATGGCCGTTGCCATAAAGAATGAAAACTGCCTCTACCGCACGATGCAAATGTAGATGGCAATGTGTAGCAATAGGTTGAGCAATAGAAGATAAATTCAAACTTGTATCAATCAACACGGAGAAAATAATAGAAGACTTTTAGTTATAAAAATGAACTTAGAAAGTAAACACTAGATGAACTAGTGCCGAGTGAACCCCTTGATGATACTACTGAAAGAAAGATGGAAGGATCACTAACTTATTCGTGCAAGGTCCTTCCATTACTTGTGCGACTCCTCATTTCCTAGATGCATCTCGGTGTTCAAAACTTCCACTACAGCAGCACCAATAGATCCAGGAAATGGAAGTTGCCAATTTGGAAAATGCCGACAACGCCGATAAGTGTGACTAACTTCATCACACGCCCAGCAACAAACATCACAGCCATGACCATGTCCTTGCTCTTGTCCTTGGACTCGAGTAGCAGTAGCATCAACCTCTATGGGAACAAGACTATCACCCACATGAAGTGGAGTTAAAGGACGTGCAATGAGAAGCGAAAGAGGCAACATCTCATAATATTGTGCTAAGCGAAGAGCATTGTCAAGGGTGGTTAAAGCAAATGCATGCACAAGTTTGATAAGATCTTGACGAAGTGCTAGCTACAACATTCCTAACTTGATCTGCTCCAACATATTTGCTCTGCACGAAGCAAGAGGCTTTGAAAATAAATGCCAAATTGCATCACCGTCTCAAATGGCCTTTGATGAAAACGATACAATTGTTGAAAGGCATCATCACAATCGTCGGCATGTTCAAATGCATGTTTAAAGATGTATGAGAGAACACTTCAATCCCTACAAGTGGTTGCACTCAAACCATTATACCATTGTAATGCCGTCCCTTAGAAACACATTAAAAACTCACACAAATGTCGAATATCATCCCAAGAATGATATATAGCAATCACCGTGAAATGATTTAACCAATGGTACACATCATCCCTAGGATTCCTGCAAAAGAACTCTAGCGAAATGTGAGGATTGGCACTAAGAGCAAAAGGAATTGTACCATGTGCCATGAATGCTGCCATCAATTGAGTTTAGTTGTTCAATTGCAATTGCATAGCATCAAGAATTGCACTAACTATTGCTCTAGAGTTAAATGAGGAGGAGATTGCTAATTTGGCATGAAGATGAATGAAAAAGAAAGAGTAAAAAAAAAGAAATGAAAAAAAAAACTAGAAGGAAAGGGTGATTTAGACAATACAAAAGATAGATCTAAATCAAAATCCTAAAAAAAAAAAATAAAGAAAAGGAAATGGAAAAAGCTAAATCTAGACAATGCAAAAGTTAAATCTAAACTAAAATCCTAAATCTAGAGACACTTAAATGTACACTTCACTTCCACTAATGTAAGTGTATGGAATATAGAAAAGGAATACAAAAAATGTGCATATCAATTAGCCCAAAAACTTTAATTTATATACAAAAGCGAGAAGTCCAAATTGAAACTAATTTGATGGCTACCAAAATCCCACTACATTAATAGTATATGGCATTGTATCCATACACTTAGAGTTCAAATAGAATATATATATGAAATATATTTTAATAAAAATCATAAATAAGTTATCTATTTTTATTTTCTTACTAAATTATTTTATTATTATAATAATATAAATTAAAGAGATATTAAATAATTTTATCTGAAAACTGTTAAATATAAATACCTGTCATATTTTTATCTTTTAAGCTGAAAAATGTAATGCTGAATAAACACTGACAACAAAATAAACATTCATTTAAATATCTTGTACAATAATTTACTCAGCTATGAACATATCTAGATCATTTCCACGCAGCTTGATAAAAGCTTGATGAGCTTTAGAACTCGTACTTTTTCCTTTCGTAGAAGAAATCCCCGGAGCTCTGCTCGTTAGCAGGCACGAGCGCAAGCCACACTGCGGTGTCCGCGCCTTGCTCGGTGGAGAGAAAGCCTCGGTTGTTGTTTAGGTCCGTCTTGACGTAGCCCGGATGGACGCAGTTAACGTAGAGCTGGCGTCCTTCTCGCTGGACGTCTCGAGCGACTAGGCGAGTGTAGGCGTTGAGAGCAATCTTTGAGACCGTGTAGGCTCCGAAAATGCCCCGCGGCCAACCGCTGGCCTCCACTTTGCCGTCTCTCACGGCGGAGAGGTAGTCGTCCACGAATGAATCGATCACTTCGCTGGACAGGTTTTCTATGTCTGTGAGTTTCTTTTTGTAAGATTCAATGCCAAGCCTCTGTATGGAAGAAAAGAAACTTGATCACTCAAAAAACTGTCTAGGAATGAAAAGCTTACATGGAGTTGGCCGAGTTGAGAGCTGATGTTGACGATCCGAGCTCCTGCTTGGCTGGGCCTAAGTAGCGGCGATAAAACTCGCGTGGTTCTCTTCACGCCATCGTAGTTTGTATCTACGAGGTTTTTCACAGCTTGGAAACTAAACTCGTTTCCAACGACGGCAGCATTGTTCACCTGAATCGAAACGAGTGACGATCGAGAAATCATGCCGAATCCAGCAAACGCTCACCAGAATGTCAAAACCTTTGTACTCCTTCTCGAGCCAACTGGCCAAGCCGGCCACGGAATCGCTGCTGCTCACATCAAGCTCCCGAAACTCGACATGCAAGTTCTCGGACTTAAGCTTTGCCTGCGCTGCCAGGCCTCGCTTCTCATCCCGCGCCGTGAGCACGACACTGATGCCTTTCTTTGCTAGTTGCCTTACGATTTCAAACCCAATACCTTTGTTCCCTCCCGTCACAACCGCTACAGTATCTTTGGACCACCACCTTGCCCGAAGAAACCAACGAGAGTAAGAAAACCAAAGAAGAAGAAGAAACTAAACTCAACGCATACCTTTGAGACGCCATAGCTGATTTTTTATCCCCAATCCCAAAATCAGTTTTAAATAACCTGTAAGTAACTTTCCTTCCCGGCCTCAATTGATGACAACCTTTTTACGTGCCAATTCCGCTCTATACTTGTCAGGCACTCCTTCAGCCTCCAACTCCTTGAGCTTCCTTTCTTTGATAAGTCGTAGCCTCTCAAACTCGGCGAGCAGCTTCAACCGAGCTCTTGCACCCTCTTCAAACTTCTCCTTGATGGCCTTGAGCCTGACCTCCCTGTTCTTTGCAATCTGTCCCATTATATCGTCCCTGTGGTGAAGGTTTCGTTTGTGCTGCTCCTCCGCTAGTATCTTAGCCTTGAGCAGTGCCTCTTGCTGATCCTTTATGATCTTGAAGAACTCGATTCTCTCCTGTTTAGCCTGCTCCGCCAGTTGCGTGATCTTAAACATCTTCTGCTGCTCCCTTGCCTCGGCCAGATCCTCGTTCATCTTTCTCAAGCGCTCCGCAGCTGCCTTCTCTTTCTCCCTCCACTCCCTCTCCACGGCTTCCTGGATTCTCTGCGCTCTCAACTCGTCCAGCGCTGCCTGTTGACCCTGCGCCTTCTCTTGCATGCTTCGCAGGCGAGCAGTTTCTAGCTCCTTCTGCTTACGGATCCGTTCGGCCTCGTCAGCTCGCTCTTGCTCCGCAACAGCCTTCTTGTAGTTGTAAAGCTGAATCTTTTGCTCCTCCTCCTTCTCCAGCATCTTCATCAGTTTTCTCTGTTCCGTATTGGCAGCATTTGCTTCCAACAGCGCCTTGTAAAGTTTCTGTCCCTCCTCATGCTTCACTTTGGCTTTTTCCTCCTCTTCAAGTTTGTCCTTCTCCGCTTGCCTCCGGATACGGATTCCTTCGAGTTGCTTGAGCTCGTCCTCGATTTTTCTGTGACCCTCTCTTTCCTAGAAATGCATGTCACACTTCCGCTTAGAACCTTCATCACTCCCAGTACCTTTATTTGATGCCTTATGACCGCTGCACCTTCCATTCGTTGGTGATGCCTTCGAGCCTCGTGATCATCATGTGCTTTCTGCTCTCTCACAATCTTTGCCATCATGGCCTCGTGCACCTCTTGATTGTAATCCTTAAGCTCCTTGAACTTTTGTATCTGCAAGTTCGGGATACAAAAGTTTACCTTCACAAAAAAGCATGCTTATACGTACTTTCTCTTTCTTCTGCTCATCTCTGATAGTTACGCATCTGGCATAAAGCATCATCTGATTCATGCGCTTCACATCGTCCAGCTGCTCTTCTGTAAGACTCGCGGCGTTTTGAAGCGTCCTGAAATAAACACAGCATGAGAAATAACCCAAATATATGCAACAAAATTGATTAATCTCCTGCCATACTTCAACGATCAAGAGCCATACATGGCGTCTAGTTCCTTCTTTATCTTCTCGCTTTCAGGAATAGCACCAGACTTCTTCTTCCTTTCTTCCTCCATCTGCACGTATATAAACTGATATCGGAATGATATGAAACTGATTACTACCTTCAACATCATGGCCTTGCGTTCGTTAGCAATGGCAGAGTTGCGCATCCTTTCTTCGTACTTCTCCTTCTCCATTCGCGCTCTCATTGCCGGAGTCAGGATCACAGAATTCACCTGGAACAGGAGAAATGCGGACTCTGACAGACAAAAAACACAAAGCTTAATACCTTGATGCGATTGACATCGTTGGTGGAGATAACCACTGTATCCGTATCCTCTTTCATGTTTTTAAAAACGCTTGGTCTGGGTGGAACCTGAAGAAAAAGAAAAAAGAAAGAAAACCTTAGCCTTAGCTGGTAACTACGAGAACTCGTTTAGAATCACTTTTTTCTTCTTCTTCTCGTTAGCTTTCCCCTGCATTCGTTAGTTTTAATCAGCAGGACACCCAAGAAAACGCAAAAGGCTTGATCATACCGGCGGGGGTTCTTTCACTGCTACCATCTTGATGACACTCTAGTTCGATAACCCTGCCACACACACAGCGATAAATCCTTGATACAAATCCAGCCAGAGAATCAAACCTCCCCAAATTCTCGCAGATCTTCGATAACTGGCAGCCAAAACGCTCACGCGCGAATCAATACGACCTATGCATGCCGACAGCCGCCAGTGTTGCGCCAGCGCGGGCGAGCGCCCTCACATCTCAAATCCCCAACCCTAGAATCCCTGTCCCGCTCGTTTTTCAAAAGCCATCCGATACCTATCGAATATCCAAACTAACCGATCCAGTTTCGAATCCCTGTTCTTCCTCTTTAATGTGGGTCCGGTTCGACCCCTGGCTCGAGCTAGGGTTTGCCACATTCTCTTCTTTCTTTCTCAGCGCCAAGAGCGCGATGGAGCGATAATCCGCGACGATCTCCTTGATCTCCAGCAGCGGCGGCGGCGGCGGCAGCAGCACGGCAGCAGGCGCTGGCATTGTTTCTAGGTGAGAGAATCCGGCGACGCCAAAGAACTGGAGTGTAGATGTCCGCAGTGTCAAAGGGCACCACCCTCCGGATCCGGGAGGTGTGGGCCGAGAATCTGGAGGAGGAATTCAAGCTCATCCGCGAGATTGTGGACGATTTCCCATACCTGGCCATGGACACCGAGTTCCCGGGTGTGGTGGTCCGCCCCATTGGCTTCAAGGCGGGCACGTACCAGATGCTGCGTGCCAACGTCGATTTGCTCAAGCTCATCCAGCTCGGGCTCACATTCTCTGACGAGGACGGCAATCTCCCCACCTTTGGCTCTACCCGGGAGTCCTACCTCTGGCAGTTTAACTTCCGCGAGTTTAACATCAAGGAGGACGTCTACGCCCACGACTCGATCGAGCTGCTCAAGCAGAGCGGCATAGACTTCCAGAAGAACCAGGAGCACGGCATCGACGCGGAGCGATTCGGCGAGCTGCTCATGTCCTCGGGGGTGATCCTCAACGAGAGCGTCCACTGGATCACCTTCCACAGCGGCTACGACTTTGGCTACTTGCTCAAGCTGCTCACTTGCCAGAACTTGCCACCCAGCGAGGCCGATTTCTTCGTGCTCCTCCGGATCTACTTCCCGACGATCTACGACGTCAAGTACCTCATGAAGTTCTGCGACAATCTCCACGGGGGTCTCAACCGGCTGGCCGAGGTGCTCGAGGTGGAACGCGTTGGGCCGTGTCACCAGGCCGGGTCCGATAGCCTGCTTACGTCGTGCGCGTTCCAGAAGCTGAAAAAGGGGGCCTTGAAGGGATCCACCGAGAAGTATGCTGGAGTTCTCTTCGGCCTTGGCGCGGACAACAGTAACTTCATCGGCGATTACTCGTGAGGAGTAGCCACCTTTCATCGTCGTTCTTTTGGTTCCAAATGAATGAAAAGAATGCGCTCCTCCGGTCGAAGTAAGCTCTCGCTCTCGCTTTGTCTGACAATCTTTGCTCTTCCTTGTTGTTACTTGTAAAACTTCTGTCATTCCGGACGAAGGTCCTCGTTGCTATGTACCAAAGTAGTTCTTCTCTTTCGCTGCGTTGTTCGTCGTCTTGGTTCCAGTCACCACCCTGTAGATCACTGCCTTGAGCTGCAACTTCTTGCGGTACCGAAACTCTCGCGCCAGCTGAATGTGGATGCTCGGTGGGCTTCTCTCTCGGAGGAGTTTGAGATCCTGGGAGATGCTCGTTGGCAGCGTAGCCAGGATCTCAGCACAGCGTATAGCTACTGAAACTCTGGCGACCAAGTCCTTCATGGCTTCTCCATCTTTCTCCAGCGCTAGAGCCGAGACGAGATGATCTTGGCACGGGTGCTTCCCCAGCAAAGGTCTGTCCATCAGCTTCTCTTGCAACTTCTCGATGCAGGCGAAGAACTCGTCGAGAAAACCGGTGCTGGTGTTGGTCTCTGGCTTTGCTTTCTTGGCAGGAAACTCGACGAAAGTTGACGCTGCTGTGAAAGCTGCGATGAGACTTGGATCGCTGATGCCAAATGCGTAGACGTTTGGACCGGGTTGATATGGTAAGTACTGGTATCCAATGTCAGCCCAGTGTGAGACGAGCTCCCACCATTCCTTGCTCTGGCCAGAGCTCCCGCTCTCGAAATCATCTATAGCGTGTTTCACCACGGGCCAGGTCTCGCTCCATGAGCTTCGTTTGCAGTTCCGGTAAGCGCCAGCGTCGTGTAAATGATTGCGACAATGTGTTGTCCATGCCTGAATGAACCAAGAGGTCGCATCCTGGTTGGAAACAAAAATCTTTTCAACTCGGCTAGCTCAGCACATATAGATGACCCACCTCAAAAGAGGAAAATATCTGTACAGAGTCGAATGGGTTGTCTTCAAGCACAAATCCTGCCACGAAGAAGATACATCATGTTATTAGCGAGAAAAAATTGTTTTTTTTATAGAACTTACCGTAGTACATAAACAGATTGTCGTTTGAACGAGGACCAAACGAAGCGTAGAGCTGGTCCCCTTTCTTTAATGCTCGTTTGGCGATAATCTCTAGCTTACGATCGATTACGGGCTGAGACATCCAGTCTGCCTGAAAAACGCGTGTGATCCCACGTTGAATGCTTGAGTTGATTCCTTACCTGGTACGTGTAGTGATGGTTTATCATATCCATGAATGGCATCAGCACGTAGTGGGAGTACCTGTCACCGGGAAGAACTGGCAAAGTGAAGGCACGACTGTGTACCATGATCACGGCCCACTCTGAAAAGGCACCACACTATTAGCGTGGTTGAGAGCATGACGATAACCTTACTGTAGTCATCGAACGAAAATGGAGGAGACTTGAATTGTTGAAAGCTTTTCTTGATGGATCTTCTCACTTGAATCACCTCCCGTAAAACTGGCATCCATTGCACTTCTTGAAGGTCCTGGTGAAAAGTAAAAGCTTTGTCTGTGATCGAAAAAGAAAATCAACATACAGTGGAGTCCAGATATAGTGGTGATGCCATATCTCGTGGTAATATGGCGATATAATCAGCCCATTTGGAGCTCCTTCCCAATGCTCTGTAAACAATTTATCATGTCATCAAAATAGCATCACAGTTACAAGCTTACTTTTCCTGTAGGAGTCGTTTTGCAGCTAAATCCCAGCTATCCTTTTGTGCTTCGCTCTCCGGACTTCCATCATAGAGACCTGCCTCAAGCTAGAGAAGAAAAAAGCGGGTAAAAGCACGCTCGTCACAAGTTTCTTACCGGAAGAATACAAAGAGTTTCTCCTTCCTCGATGTCTCTCGAGACGAGCACACCACGGACAGCGTTTTTCTGGTAGGAAGTATCGTTCATTGACGTAATAGCTAGCTTTTCAGAAATGGAGAATCCGTGTTTGTCCATCCAAGTTGAGAACTAGCCAGAAAAAGCACGTCAGAATCGGAAAAACAAAGCGTAACCAATAAATGCTTACACTTTTCAGCTTCGAAACGGACTCTCCACCAGAGTCATCTTTCACAGCCGCTTTTGATGGAAGCTTACGCTCTGACAAAGCCGTTCGAAGCACGTCTTTGAAAGACGACCTGAAGCCTATAGCAACCACGTCATTCCATCCTTGCTTATCGATCTGCCACCGACAAGCTGAACATGGTTCTTCTGCGGACGCACCGATACCTTCCCATCTTGCCGCTTGTAATAGAAACTGATCCTCTACAAAATCTGTTGTCTGCCTAGCCGCTAGACCACCTATATGTTCCTGTACAGCTTTAACTGCAGACGAAAATGCCGAACTAATCTCATTCACCTCTGTGCTTTTGCTTGACACATCTAGCGCGGGGTGTAAACTCTTCGCTGCTATCACGTGCATCACCTTCTCCCACGTTGTATCCTCTACTACAGCAAAATCCGCCGGTGCCTTGCCTCCCAAATTATTGTTGTGAGCATCAATCGCCTTCTTTGCATAGAAAAGTGAAGCGACGACGCAAAGCAAAGACGGAGCAACGACTCCACTCGAGTTGACTGAAAGGCCTGTTTTAATCCCACTACTTGCCATACTTTCTACTGTTTCTGCTGCATCCCTGCTGATTTTTACCGTCAGAACTCTGTTGCTGTTGACGCCACCATAGCGCGAGAAAAACCATTCAGCTACGTCCTGCATGAATAGAAAAATAAATTGGGTGTAAGATGAAAGGAAGTGTGTTACATTTAAACCGGAAAATAGTCTTGCTCCCTCGACAACGTCATATTTGAGTATTAACCCTGCTCTCAAGTTCAAACATTAGAGAAAGATATACGCACAACGAACCTTGAAAGAGGAATGCATCAGTTCTTCGAGTGCCATCGCGATAAAATGAAATGGCTGCACCCCTGCTTTCATTACGACTCGCAACGACCTTGAGCGTGCCTCTCTCAAGCGTAAGTTTTGCTGTCAAAAAAAACATACAAATGAAATAAGAATTTCTAAGTTCTTGGAACTTAAACACAACCATTTTTTTCGCTGCCAGTCCCAGTAATTCCCAGAAATGGAAAGAGATAGTGTCCTCCACCGTTTCCTAAACTGCAGCCCAAACTGAATGCAATAGAGAGTGCCCACACTGTTAAAAAAGCTATTTGTAAAAGTCGATCAACATTTGAGTTGGCTTACCATAGTCAGAAAACTTGGCGTGAGCAATGTCTGCTCCACGCAAAGCATAAAATGACAAGATTGCAAAACGTCTCATTTCAAAGACCTCATTTGCTACAAAACTGTCCTCCATGTTGTTCATTTCCTGCAAATAGAACAAGATGATCAGCGCCCCAGCAAAGCTTACAAATCTACCATATCTGTAAAGAAGAGCGGAAGAGGCACGTATTTAGGCAAAGAACTTATATACAGTGCCCATTTAGATGTGTCACCACGCGACCTGGTGCTCGAGAATTAGCAACAATGGAACAAGAAGAAGAAAAATCTGTTTAACCTTTCTCGCAATAATCTTGACGCTAGCTTAACTTCCCAAGGAGCTCCATCCAACAAGCCACCGTCAAGCTTGTCAGTGATACATTGCTCAACCTGAAAGACAATGTCAGTCTGGTTTTCCAGTTTTCTGGCCACTTACTGGGAAACTTAGAATCGTTTTTCCAGAGATCAGCTCGGAGTCAGCAAAGCAGATCAAGTCGTCCTTTGTTTGAGGAAGAACGCTGAAGTCCAGAGTACAAGCCACAGCTTTTTCTCTCGAAGTAAGCGTCTCCATATAATGTAGGATTCTACAATCAAAGTTAACTTGCTAGATGACTAGATGACTAGCAAGTGCTCACCTGGAATTCGTCTCGTTGCTTGGAACATCTAACATGATACTCCGGATACGTGACCAATCCACGGAATTCATGCCACGCTTTGACATCCTTGTGATCCATCTCGAGTGCTTCCTGTGCGAGAATTCCTGGGGACAGAGATTTGAGCAGCAAAATTCACTTTTCTACTCACTGGCAGCTCGCAGATCGCAGCGCCAATGTGGATCGGCAGCAGCAGCGCCGCCAGAGCCAAGATCGCGCGCCAGCGCCAACGCCATCGCCAAAACCCTAATTCCATAATCCGCAAGAACAACACAATATGCTGGCTATGGCGGGAAGCCCATTTTCTTTGAGAATTGTAGGGTTGAGGCATCGATTAGGAAGGGCGACGGCGGGATTCGCAATGGAGGAAGTGGCGCTGGAAGACGCGAAGCTCAAATCGAGCGTGCGCGGAGGGCGGCGTGATCTGGCGAGCGTGAACGCGGGCGGGTTCGCCGTAGAAGGTATTTCCATCGGCGGCCATGAGACCTGTGTGATCGTTCCATCCATGAAAATCGCGTTTGATATTGGACGCTGTCCTCAGCGGGCGATCTCTCAGGATTTTCTCTTCATTTCTCACTCTCACATGGATCACATTGTAAGCGTTTTCTATGGATTTTTGAAGGATCATGGCTCATTGTTTGTGAATTTTCCAGGGAGGGATTGCCATGTACGTTGCTACTCGCGGCCTCTACTCCATGAAGCCTCCCACGATTTTCGTTCCTTCATCGATCAAAGCCACCGTGGAAAAGCTCTTCGACGTTTACAGGGAGCTCGATCAAGCAGAACTCTCGATGAAGCTGGTCGGACTTGATGTAAGTTTTTCTCCTGGTTCTTCCACAACTATAGCTTAGTCTGAGGTAGCTCTTTCAGCTCTTGCCAAAGTGTTGGTGAAAGTTTTTCTCGTGGTTCTTCCAAAAATCTAGCTTAGTCTGAGTTATCTCCTTTAGTTCTTTCCAAAGTTCTTTCAAGCTATTTGCTTACGTTCTTTTGCTAGATTGGTGAAGAGTATGATCTTGGAAAAGGATATATCGTCAAGCCTTTCAAGACGTACCACGTAATTCCCAGTCAGGTAGATTGCATGAGCTCGGAACACTTTCTAATCCTTTTCATTTCTGCACTCCACATTTGCAGGGCTACATAATCTATGCTGTGAAGAACAAACTAAAACCCGAATACGTGGGCCTTCCCGGTGACAAAATCAAGTCTTTACGATTCTCCGGCGTGGAAGTAAGCTCAGAATTGTGTATTGTTGTCACGAAAGTTGTGCTGTTTGCACAGGTAACGAACGTCACTCGGAGTCCAGAGGTGGCTTTCACGGGAGACACCACAGTGGATTTCATAGGGGACGAGAACAATGCCGACGTTTTACGTGCAAAGCTGCTGATCATGGAGGTTAAACTTGGTCTCTAGATCTCAAAGTTTCTAGACTCAAATCTCTTTTTTCCTTCCCAGGCTACATTCATCAATGATAGCGGAACTGTAGAACACGCTCGAGAATACGGCCACTCTCATCTTTCAGAGGCAAGTTCATGAAAAATTCTAGCAAGAACTTTCGAATGTCCTGTTCCAGATCGTCGCATTGTCTGACAAGTTCCAAAACAAAGCGATTCTCCTCATCCACTTCTCTGCGCGGTACAGCAAACAGGTACTTCACTTCACAGAGATCCTTTCTCGTCATAAATTTTTTCTTCCAGGAGATCATCGAAGCTATTGAGAAACTCCCAGAAACTCTCAAGTCTCGGACGTATGCTCTCACGGAAGGCTTCTTCTAGAGTGTAAATTGGTCTCTCGTCGCGGATATTCAAAGGCATCAATTTTGAAATGGAGCATATCCCTTTCGCGCCTAGGCCTAGGTTAAGCCCTAGTTCTCTCGCTCGCGATGGCGGAGGCGGTGAGAGCTTTCTCCGATCCATCTCGCGGATGGTAAGGAAGGGGATTTGTTTCGTTTTTGCAGGAAGTAGATCCATTCGCCGAGAAGCCGCAGCCGAGAGAGGTCTGGGAACCCGCGGAAGAGGAGAATTTCGATGAAGTTCGCGAGTCTGTGGAGGGCAAGATGGATGTCAATATCCCCAATCCCATCACTCAGAACACACCTCTGTAAGAATTTCGCGAGAGATTTTGGATCTCTTGGATCTTTCGTTTCGCGATTTTTTTTATTGAAGATTGGCATGCTAGGCTCATTGCGATCAAAAATCGAAACGTGGAAATGGCAAAGTATCTTATCATCAGGAACTCCGATGTTAAGATGCAAAATGCCGTTGGTGATACTGCTCTTCACTGGGCGGTAAGTGTGCTAATGAACTCTAGATCACTCTTTCGCGATTCTTTCAGGCCTTGAGAGGAGACGAAGAACTCGTCAAGATGATAATCAACAAGATGGCGGAAATAAACGCTGTAGGCGAGTGTGGGAACACTCCTTTGCATCTTGCTTGCAGCCGGAACTATGTACAAATCGCCAAGATCTTGATTTTGGTACGAGAAGTCTTTAAGTTTCTCTTGCGATCGCTGTGATGGATCCTTTTGTTTTTCTTTTTTTGTTTCTCTCTTTCAACTTGTTACTGTGTGTTCAAGGCCAGGAGGGTGCCTCTGTGACTCATAGAAATGACTACGGCAACACTCCTGTACAACTGACAACGAACAACACTATCCGGCAAATGGTAACCTGGACCGTTTTCCAAGTTCTATCTTTGCTTTTTCGTTTTTCTCCAGATCAAACTTGTTACTGACAAGGGAGAGGCTGGACGTGAGCAAGTGAAAGCCGCGGAGCGAAACAGATTAGCGCAAGAGAGAGCACACAAAGAGCAGCAACGCTTGAAGCAACTGGTAAAGTCTTTCATGTCTACGTTCCATTTTTCTCACTCCTTTCGTTTTTCAGGAGGCTGAAGCAAAGAAGAGAGATCAAGATGCTTACGACTGGAGAAGAAGAGAGGAGATCCTTGCAGAAGAGGTTTTGATCTTTCCACGCTCACATGCAACACTTGTAATCGTGTCTGTGAATTTGGATTTTAGAGAAGAGCTGAGGAGGAAGAAGCTGCAAAGCTCCGTGCGGAAGCTTTGGAACGCGAACGAGAGGTTCTCTCGCCAATTCTCACGCAAGTTTTTTAATCTTCTTCTTTGATCTTCTTACAGGAGAAAGCTCGCATCGAAGCCGAGCTCCTCGACCAAGAGCGTCTCAAGAACGAGAAGAAATCCAAGAAGAAGAAGAAGAAGAAACAATGAGAAAGAATCGCATTCGTCACAGAAAAAAAAGTGATGGGACAGTAGTATAAAGGGCCCGTGAAAATAAATCTCTCGATTATACTTTTAGGGTTCTTCCGTTGGGGCGGTCGATCCTTTCGCTCCCTCCAGCTCGCTGCTGGATCGCGCAGACGCTGGGATGGCTCTAGGTGAGTTGATCGTCTCAAATTGCTCGCGGCGCCAAGGGTACGTGGATGATTTCTTCTCTTTCCCTAGTTCCCAGGAATTTCCGGCTGCTCGAGGAGCTGGAGAGAGGGGAGAAGGGCCTTGGCGATGCGTCTGTGAGCTTGGGCATGGATGACAGTGACGATGTGTACATGTGTTCGTGGACTGGCACAATTCTGGGGCCTAGCAATGTCCTCTTTCTTTTTTTTCTTTCTTTGCTCTTACAATGCACTGACTCTTTCGCTTTTTTTTTTTCTCATTTATTCTGTGCAGTCTGTTCACGAAGGACGCATTTATCAGCTTAAGTTGTACTGCGACAAAGACTATCCGGATAAGCCACCAAGTGTGCGATTCCATTCGCGAATCAACATGACTTGCGTTAATCGCGAGACTGGAGCTGTAAGCACTCGCATTTTGTTTCTTGGCTTTGTGGTCTAGTTTCTGGTGTTTCCACTAGTGATCTTACTTGTGCAGTAAGCACTCGGCCTCCGGTGTTTTCACTAGTGATCTTACTTGTGCAGTAAGCACTCGCTGTTCTTTTTTTGATTTTCCTGATACATGGTCTAGCTTCTGGTGATCTTACCTGTGCAACAAGCACTTTTTTTTTTTCTTTCTTGATACTTGCTGGTGTTTCCATTAGTGATCTTACTTGTAGACAAGCTTTTTCGGTTTGCTCATCAACTTTTCGCTGTGCTTTTTCAGGTGGAACCCAAGAATTTTTCTTTGCTCTCGAACTGGCGACGCGATAACACCATGGAGGACATACTGAAGCAGCTCAAGCGTGAGATGGGAGCTTCTCACAACAAGAAGCTGCAGCAGCCGCCCGAGAATACTTTCTTCCATCATTGACGTCGTCTCTTTCCCCGGTAATGATTGGCAGCCTCGTATAGTAGGATTGTCTTTCTCCCAGTTTTCTAAAGCTTTGTTTTATTTTCTTGTCGCCAGTTCTTCTCGAAGGCTTCTTTTTTTTTTCCTTCAGTGGTATGCCGGTCGTCTCTCCCGGACCGGGCCTCTTCTACTGTTGGTACTCAAATGTAATGTAGTATTCTCCTGAATACAGGTTTATGCTTCTTCTTCCCCGTTTTGGAGAGGCTTGCTTGAGTCAACCGTGAAATCCGAGCAAATCACGGTGCCAAGTTATTTTGGCACGATAGTTACATATATGACATCACCGTGCTGCTCAATTATATTGGTATGATCTCACGACGAATCGGCGTTTGATTTGTGGCAGGCTAGCTTTAAGAAGCAAACACTAGAAGAATTGACAAATGGTACGTAGAGTTTGTACAAAGTTTTTATTTTTGTTGTTTGTTTTCTCTCCTTGCTTTCGGTTTCTCGCTTAAGTTTCTCACTTCTTTGGGGGGTACGTATTGCAGGCACAGGGGTGTTAAGCAGTGGATGCAATAAATGGACACCATTCTAATGCGTTATAAGGTACACTACACTATTCCCTTGTTTCAGGTGCAAAGCATGTAGTAGTATAATAGGCAATAGATTAAGTTTCGTGCATGCCTGGATGGAATAGATAATTCGGAGCACGTCCTTCCTTGTAATCCCCGGTGTGGACCAAACTGCATTGTAGTGGCAGCAGCATTAATCAACGATATTACAGTTTTGTTTTTCGCTGTTAGTAGCGGTGATGGGATTTCTCTGTAGTATTGCAGGAGGTACTATGACACGGGAGATAATTTCTTTCCAGTGCTTGCTGTTCTGCATGAACTGCTATTTCGACTTTATACCAGCCAATTCAAGAGGTAACACTGCTGCATCCATGTTCTTTAGCTCTTAGCTCTCTCTTTTTTTATATATGCTTCCGTGTTCGTATGAAAACTTAAAAGCCTATCTGCGCGAGAGGAAAAATGCACGAGAGAGAAGAGAAAAAAAGAATGACTTTATTGAGATAGAAACCCAGCACTGCTGGAATTCTAGCGATGGTAAATAAATGAATAGTAGTGGGGCGGAACTGGTAGTTTACAGCAGTCGTATGATATGTGTGTAGAGAGGCAAGGAATATGCAAGTCGCTAGATGAAAGGAGAAGTTAAAGAATGTAGATCACGGAAAGAAAGAAGCGGGAACTCAAGAGCTAATAAGCTTTTACTTACATAGAGGTTTAGTTGTCAGCCTTTGTTTGATTGAGCCTCACGATCTTCTTCTCTGGTTTGTGCACAGGATGAAGAAACTCTTCTCTTAGAGCCTGACAAACTTTCGGAGGAGCAAAGAGAACCTGTTTCCAATCTGCTCCAGAAACCAACCGTGAACGAGAGACGTAAAAACCGAAACGAACGAACACCAAGTGTTGCTGTTGCTGCTGCTGCTGCTGCGGCTGCTGCTTGTTCAGCTCATCTTCTTCCCGAAGGTGTTCTTGTTATTGTGCATCCACACCTTGAGGACGTGCCGCTTGACCCCGACATCAGCACAGAACTGCTGCACTTCGCCCTCGTCGTGCTTCTGGATTTTCCAACCCAGCCGGTGAGCAAAGTGGAACATCTTTTCCTTTTGCTCGTTTGTAAACTTGGTCCTGAACCTCTTTTTGATGGCAGACGGAATCAGGTGGTGAGCCAAGCTGTACGTGGTCTGGTGCTGAGCTCCAAGGTCGTGATCATCCGACTGGTCGGAATTACTCAGAGCGACGAGAGCTCCCGGGGAGCGGGCCATGGAACCCAGTGGAGAGCCGTGTTGCTGCAGCGGGAGGACTGACGATGGCTTCTTCTTGGACATCACGTCCTTGGCACCTGGGGACGAATGAGGAGGAGCTTTAAGCAGGCAGATACACAAGACGGAGGCTCACCTTCGACTTCTCGTCTGTGAAAATTCCGGTGGCAGTCGCAGGCCGAGCACTTGAGCGACTCGATGGTGCCTTCTTCTCCGCTGGGCATGAATTCTCCGCAGCCGTCGAGAGCATGACCACCGATGCCAGCGGCGTGGTTCTTGAGGCACTCCCTGTACCGCACCGGTTTCTTGCTCGGCTCAACTTTGGAGCCATTAGTGGTGGTGGCGGTGTTTGGAGTTCCGGCTGCAAGAGGTTGTGCTAGGATGGGCTCAGCGAAAGTAGCTCGCGACGCTGCAACCACTGCTGCCGCGGCTTCTTCCACGGCTGTGACGGGCGTGACTCCGTTGGCACCACTGGCCATGAGCTTCAACTTGTTGGACGAGTCATGAAGGTAGCTCGGCTGAGGCATTGACACCGGGATCTCTGCCTCTAAATCCATCCTACTTTGCGAGCAAAACAGGGACTCAAGCACTGCTTACTTGGTTGCAGTTGCTGCTGTTGCTGAGACAAAGCCCCCGAGAGTGTGGAGCGAGCTTGACCCGGGGGGGATTTACAGCAACTCGAGTGGAAAATCCTTCGGCTAAACCACCACTTGTGTAAGTCGCTGGCTTGTGCTAATGGACCTCGCTTGCTTGCGTGCTTGCAGTAGTAGTACCAAAGTGGATAAACTGCAGATTGAAGAGAGAGGATTTGGCACAAGCGCTGAGAAAAGAATGTTGTTGGTGTTACCCGGCTCTTATCTACTGGTAATGGAATTCCAATCCTGGTCTCCTTGGAAACTTAGACTTCACTTTGCTCCAGGTATCCATCCCATGCCGCGGTTTTGTGGAACAGTGCGTGTGACACAAAACAACGCTCTAAGGAAGCAAGAAAAGGAGTCTTATCTCTCCGGGGTCACTCAAAAACGAAGGGATGAGAAAGGCTTGGACTTTAAACGCTAATCCGCTGGCACATCACTGAAGAGTCGTACTGCTGGGCTCAACTTAACTCAAACACTGCACAAAAAGAAGGGAGATCGAATGGCTTAGAGCTCAAGAAATCACACAGGCCACGGGAGGAAGGAGCAAGAGCTATGCGAGACGAGAGCTTGGATTGGAATCCAGGTCAGAGCAAAGCAAAGAAACGCATTATTACGAAGAAGATAATCATCAAGCTCTTGCAATCACTCAACTCAAGGTGCTGCTCAACCGGACTGACTTAGTGCTCAAGCCAAGACTAAGCAAGTGAATCAGCAAAGCACTGATCTGATGCTGCTCCGGCTGCTGCTACTACTGCATCATTAGCAGCAGTGTGCCCAGCAAGGAAGGAAAAAAGAAGGAAAAGAAAGAAAGAGGAGGAGCAGGAATCAATCAGAGCTCAGAGCACAGCCAGGAAAAACGCAACAAGATCAAGCAGCTCAAAACAGTGACCCCTAGCTTCCAGGTAACTCTCTTTTATCTTTCCAGGATATCTCAAGATCAGTCTTAACTTTCCAGGGACGAAGAAGACGAAGAAGGAGGAGATGAAGAAACTGCTGCTGCTGCTTAATAGTAGTAAGCTGGAAACTTTGGTGCTGGTCTTGCTGATGTCGAGATGATGATGCAGTGATGAAAGAAAAAAAACCAGGAGCTTGGATGCTAATCTCGACCTCTGATCTAGCCCCGGCTTGGACGGTGTGAATTACGGTAATAGCCGGATGATCACTCGAAAGCAGCGGAGAATCACCAGAGAGAAGATCGCAGTAGAGTGAGGCGGAGGAAGAGGAGGAGAAGGGCGTAGAAATGGGAAATGGCCCCCACGGTAATGGGTTTCTTTGCGGAACTTCTCGAGGATTTGAGCAAACAAAGCAAAGCAAAGCAGCGGGGACAAAAAAAAAAGGAAAATTTTGCAAAGGCTGGGGAAAAAAAAAGTGATTTTGGGGGGAATGGAATTGCTCCCCCGAAGCCTCGGAGCACCGGTTGCGGAGGCTGGGGAGTTCACTAAAACTCTCTCTTCTTCTTCTTCTTGTCCCTCTCTCTCTCTCTCTCTCTCTCCTCTCTTCTATCATACAAACAAAAGAGAGAACGCATACCATCGCTGTCTGGAAAAGCATTTTCAAACGCGCGGACCGTTGATTGGGTTCCATCTGACGGCGCCGGGGGCCGGACCGCTGCCAGCCGTCGATGGGCGCCCCCATCCAACGCCTCATATTCTGCCACATGGCCGTAACTGAGCTATACGCGTACACGTGGACGTACTTTTGACTGTCAGACGATAAGACACGGGTTCCGCGGCGTCCGTCCGATGTCGGGTATCGACAGTTGGGATTGCTCCACGTGTGGTCTGCTAACTCCAGCTTTGGTTAAGAGGGCGTTACGTTAGAGGCAAAGCAGAAGCGAGTATAGTTTTTAGTGAACATTGAAGTGTTCCCAGCTTTCCAAACTTCAGGTAGGTGATTCCGTGAATTCGTCTCACGGGAAAAACGTTTTTACTGGGCTTTGGATTTAATGCGATTACGTTGTTGTTTTAACCGTGACAAGACAGCTGACAGGTTGACAGGCCGTCACAGGCCGTCGGATCGAAGCATTAGGGTTAGGGCTATAGTTTGTATACCTTTTAGCTACAAATAAAGCGCATCTTTCACTAATAACATGTCCGCCACCTTTTGTAAAATGTAGTTTAGGGCAAAGCCCATTATTCTCCGACAGCCTTCCTTGTTAATCCTTTGGTTTTATTAAATGCGATGCGGGGATTTCTCCTACGTAGTTTACTCTAAACGTTTCGGATTCCAGGATTTGGACGTCCAAGGCGAACGAATCGGGACGACGTTGGTTTTGCCCTTTGAAGAATATTATAAGGCCGGACGTGATCTTGGGGAATCTTCCAAGTTTAACTTAAGCTAAGCTTAGGATATTAAAGAAATGCTACATGCACGCGTGCCTTTGCGTGGAGCTTGTATCTTGTGTGAGTTTGCGTACAATTGACGCTTAAATTTCTAGGCCAAAGCACGCACACGGATGACATGTAATCAGGGTGATCTTTTAAACAAGCATTGATGATTATTTTTGCCGCGTGAAGCCGAAGTCAAAAATATCTTGTGTCTCATCGACTAATCACAGTTTACATGTAAATGTCAGTGTGTCCGAGTGGTTAAGGAGACAGACTCGAAACCTGTTGGGCTTTGCCCGCGCAGGCTCGATTCCTGCTGATGACGCTCTCTTTTAAAACTCATCAATAATTTGCTAATAATTCTTTATTAAACGAAATAATACACATTTTGTGAAGAAAAGGGAAAAGAAATAAAGAAAGAGAACAAGAAGGTTGGAGTTTGGGGACAAAGACACCCACCGCTTACAAACAAAAAAAACCTCCATTGATTGAATTGAGCAACAACAACACCACTGCTTCACTCAAGGCAATGTTCTTCATGTTCTTCACTGAATAGAATGTTTAGAACTGGAGCACAAGCAAGAGCTTAAGACCTAAAAAACCCTACGAGGAACCCAAAGATCAGCATAAACAAAAGAAACGATTAAAAATACTGCCCCGTGAATCTTCGCAGATTTCTCTCAATGAATACGTTTTACCAGGCCACAAACTTTAGACCAAAACGCATGCACTCGGCCATGAATCAAAAGGCTGTGAGGTGTGTCCCTTTTCGCGCGGCGCCACTTGTGAGCCTGGAGTACGTTCCACATCAGATCACGGCTGTTGACAAAAGCGGTGCTCGAAGCTTCATTAAGAAAACGTACCTCTGGTAGATAGATCCGTGCCACCGCCGCTTAAAGTTTGATCTCCCTCCCAGATGAGGACGATCAGAGTCCGATCTTGGGTAGAAGACGGTGATATTGTCTGAGCTTATGTGAGAATCTCTGGCAGCCTCTGGAGAAGGAGATTGAGAGTGTCGAGTCGAGTCGAGTCCCATCGTACACCAGTGAAACTACTTAGTTTTGTGGCCACCACGAGTGACCACCACCACCACCACCACCATCAGCAGCACCAGCACCACTGTGCCAGGGTCCCCCAAGTAGTTCCTTTTCCGAGCATTGAAGATCGAGCCTTTCCCTTTTGCTAGCTGTCTGGCGAATCCAAATCACTCCAAATAAAAACCATTCATGCTGCTACAGACCAGCTGTATTCCTCCCGCTCGTACGTGCCCTGTCCACTTCCTATTCCCTGTGTTCTTCCAAAAATTTCCCAGTCCAGCTTTGCTTTCTAGTACCTCCTCTAAGCCACTAAAGCCCGGGCTCGATTCACACACCTTGTTGTAATGGATGTTGTTGTTGGTGTTACTACCTCATCCTCCCAGTCTGATCTGTGCTTGGTCTGTCTCACTGGCTCCATTCTGTAACATAACAGCAACCCAAGAACATTATTAGAAGCACTTGAGTAAAAAGACATACGGTCCTCTCAAGGACAATGATATTGTTGCTGCACCTTTGAAAAGCTGGAAGTTTCTGGGATTTGCCGCGATACTCCAGTAAAGATCTTCGCACTACTTAAAAAGAAAGAAAAGCTTGATCCTCTTTCTCCTCATGTTCATCATCTGTGCACCTGGCCAAATGACACGCGATGAGAAAAACTTCCACACACTGAGAAGTAAAGACACCAGGAGCGCAAAGCCATACCTCTATGTAGGATAGCAACAGTTTGGAGAGACGATCTGATCAAAAGCTAGGTAGCTCGTCTCCCTCTCACCTACAGTAAGACGTATTACGTGACTGCAAATTCCTCCACACGCGGTTAGTATATGACATCCAAACCCAGAGCTGAGCTGACTGCTGCATACGTATAGTTCTTGTCCTGTTTTCGCTTCCTCGTCCTCCTTCCTGGCTGTTGGATTCAGTCCTCACAGAGTCGGGCACTCCGACTTTGGCCTCTGTCCACCTCCTTGGCAAAACGCAAAGCTCTCCGGGCACTTGGCCAGGCAGTTGTAGATAAAACTCGCGCTAAACCTTCCCGGAACCTCGAGAAATGGCTGAGGAACCTCGCCGATGAGATAGTTGCCGTCCAGGAACAAGCGCATGAGCGGCTGGACCTCGTTGGAAGCCGAGCTCGCCTTGGAAGCGAACTCGTAAGGGATGGTGCCACTGAAGTTGTTGTAGCGAAGCGAGAGTGCCGAGAGCCTGCTGATGTTTGCCAAGAACACGGGCAGAGCACCTTCGAGCTGGTTGTAACTTATGTCCACCGCCACAAGCTCGCTCTCCACGTTGGAAAGTCGTGGAACACCCAGCGAAGAGATCTGGTTGTGCGAGACCGTGAGCTGCTGGAGAGATGGCAATTCGAACAGCGACGAATCCAGGTGCCCGACGAACTGGTTGTAGCTCAGGTCCAGAACTTCCAGCCCCTGGAGCTGGACTAGATTCTGTGGAAAGCTCCCACCCAGTTGGTTGCTTCGCAGCGAAAGTTGGAGCAGCGAAACCGGGAGCTTGAGCGGCAGCTCGGACAGCCGGTTGTTGCTAGCGTCGAAGTAGCTCAGCCTCTGCAAACCATCTAGCGAGGGAATCTTTCCGGCGAGCTGGTTGTTGTGGAGGAAGAGCCTCTCGATGGTTGATAGATTGGCGATGGAGCTGGGAATCGGCCCCTCGAGGTGATTGTTGGCGACGGAGAGGTAGGATAGATTCGAGAGCTGTGAGATGGTGTCTGGAATCGCGCCGGTGAAAGAGTTCCTTGACAGGTCGAGCTTGATGAGGCTAGTCAGCTGGCCCAGGGACGCTGGAATGGTGCCGTGAAAGGAATTTCCAGAGAAATCGAGCACCTGTAACGCGGTCAAGCTGCCCAGCGATGGAGAGAGGGTACCATTGTAGCCGGAGCCGTCGAGGATCAAGCTGATGACGCGGCGGCTGAGAGGATCGTCGCTGCTACAGCCAATGCCACACACGAAATGCGATGTGGATCGCGAGTCGCAGGGATCGGCGGCGGCGAAGTCCCAGGAGCCGAGACAGGTCGTGGAGTGAATGCTGGAGGGATCTACCGCGGCCTTGACATCCTTGAGGGCTTGGAGATCCGACGAGAGCGTCGATGCCCTGGTAGCAGGAAATATCCGGATCGCGAGCAAGAAGATCAAGACCAGCGCCATGAGAGTGAGCGCCAAGCTGCTAGCAGCAAGAAAACGATCGGTCGCTAAGAAAATGCCACTGCCAGGCGGTAAATCTTACCTCGAATAGCTAGGATCTTGCCTCCGAGAGAAATGTCGCTAGAAATACCGTGATGATCAAGCAGAGCGAAGAACCCTAATGGGTATTTTAAAAAGAGAGGAGGTTTAAGGACACGTGTTCCAAGGACAGTTGTCATTTAGACCAAGCCTTTCCCGCCTAGGCTTAAATTTTTCCAAAGCAAAGCCCACGAAAATATCTGTGAGAGCTTGGCTATGGCGGCCGCGCTCTCGTCTATGGCGATGGCGATCGCGCACAGGAGGAAGCGAAGAAATCTAGGTATGTTGCTTATGCTATCCTTGATCATGTCCTGTCTTGAGAGATTCTTCTTGCGCGGCATTCTTTTCTTTGCTTTCAATCGTTTTGTAGTTCGATCGTTCAATGTTTTCTCGTGAATCCGATTCAATCGTGTAGGCATTGTTTCTAGTCTCGATCCTTTTCCTAGATCTTTACGTTCTAGAATTTTTTTTCCCCTTAATGCTTGATCTTTCGTCTGAAAATTTGGATGTTTTGTATGTTCTTCGATGTTTTCTCGTGAATCCGATTCAATTGTGTAGGCATATTTTCTAGTTTCGATCCTTTTCCTAGATCTTTTAGCGTTTACGTTCTAGAAAAAAATTTCCCTGCCAATGCTTGATCTTTAGTCTGGAGATTTGGATGTTTTGTATCGTCAAGGATGGCATTTTTGTGTGAGTGCGCTAGAGAGTTTTTTAAACTTCTTTTCATCCTGGACTTTCAGAGCGTTACAAGTTCTTGGTTTCTTATCCAGATTGGCGAGACAAAACACAAACGCTTCGAGGACAACACCACGGTAGCAAAGTATCGTGTGCCGCTTTCGGGTACAAGAACAGTGCTGCCAGGAGTCCCGACGAGGACAACTTGAAGATTCTAGTGGATCGCATGCAAGGGATGATACACAAGACAGACAGTGCCACTTACGCTAGAGTTTTACGAGTTTGCGCTAAGAACAAGGCTCTCCAGCAAGGGAAGAAAATTCACAGCTACATTCGGGATAGCGGGCAGGAGCAGGACAGGATACTCGGGAACCATCTCATAGAGATGTATCTCAAGTGTGGGAGCTTAAGGGACGCGCAGAGAATGTTTGACGAGATGGTTTCGCGGGACGCTATTCTTTGGACTTCTATGATCTCGGCCTACTCAGAGCGTGGTCACTACAAGACGGCATTGAAGCTGTTCCAGAGAATGCAAGGCGAGAGTGTAAAGCCGGACAACGTCACCTTTGTCACCGTCCTCAATTGCTGCGGGAAAATGAGTGCTTTGCAAGAAGGCAAGCTTATTCACTCGCAGCTCACTGGAAACGGGTTTGAGAACGACCTCATCGTCAAGACTGCGCTACTCAACATGTATGGGAAGTGCGGTAGCCTGACAGACGCAAGGAAGGTCTTTGAAGAAATCCAGGGGAAAGATATCATCACTTGGAACGCAATGCTCTCGGTCTACGTCCAACATAGTGCGTACGAGGAGGCGCTCGAGCTCTACAGGAAGATGGAGCTCACTCCAAGCGTCAGCACTTTTGTCACTGTGATCAATGCGTGTGCCGGCGCTACAGCTCTCGAAGATGGTCGACAGGTTCATGCTGTGGTCACTGCGAGAGGTTTGGAAACTGAGGATGCGGTCTCCAGCGCATTGCTCAACATGTATGGAAAGTGTGGCAGCCTCGAAGACGCTGCCAAGGTTTTCTGGAAGAGACGCGAATACGACGACGTTGCTTGGGCTCATATGATATCCTTCTACACACAGTGGCATCGCAGCAAAGAAGCACTCGGGCTTTTCAGACTCATGAGGCTAGAAGGTGTCCGGGTTGACAAGTTTGCCTTCACGACCACCTTGAGCGCATGCAATGGTGCCGAGTGCCTGGCGGAGGGAAGACTTCTTCATGCCGGCATAGAAGAGAGTGGCTTTGAATCGGACGTGGTCGTACGAAGCGCTCTGATCCATATGTATGGCCGCTGTGGTCTCTACGATGCTGCTTGGGAGCTCTTCCAGTCCGTGCCAACGAAGAATGTGCTGCTCTCCAGCGCTATGATAGCAACTTGTGAGAGACACGGACACTGGCGAGAGCTTCTCGACGTCTACCAGAACGTCCAGTCGGTTCCTTACAAGCTGACAATCATCAGCGTTCTCAAGGCCTGTGCGGAGCTCCAGGAGTTGGAGCGGGGCAAGGCTGTTCATGAGAGCATCAAAGGCAAGGATTTGTATCAGGATGGTGGTATCAGAGAGGCGCTGCTGGGCATGTACTGCAAGTGCGGAGCTCTGGAAGACGCACAAAATCTCTTCGACAGAACTCCGGACAAGTCTACCGCATTTTGGAACGCTCTGCTCGACGCTTACGTGAAGCAGGGTCAGCTGGAAAGAGCGTCCGAGCTGTTCGAACAAATGCAGGCTAACGACGTAGAAGCGAACGAGATCACAGTCGCATGCGTGAGCTCGTTGCGAGAAGGGTCCCAGGTTTTGGAAACTACACCGGAGAACCAAGAAGAGCTTTGTCGGCAGCAGACTGGAACAGTGGAGCTGGTCGCCTAAGACTTAGACGAGCTGGTTGACTTTGGAAAACACCAAAGCATTGCGAGAACTTCAAAGGATTGCGCACAATGTTCTCGTGCCTTATCGCCGCATCTACGAAGTTATCAGCAGGTAAGAGCGGCACTCTCATTCCGTCCCTCAAGGATGGAACCGGATTAGTGAAGGCAGAAGATGAAGCAGGGAGTCTTGATCTCGGTGAACCTGATTCTTTAGCCGACCTCCTGAGCAGCTTGAGGGTCGATACCAAGAAGCTCTCCGAGAAGACCAAGCGTCGAAGTTGTGCTTTCAAGTTATTCAGGTACTTGGGAGGTAGAAAGGACAGGGACAAAGTAGTGTTGGTCAACTGGCGTATGGGGAGAAACTTATCGCAGCTCATCTGCCATCTGGACACTCTCCACGATCGATCTGCGGAGCTTCTTCGCGAAGAGATGATGCTTCTAAGGGAGTGCAAGGACTCTTCCACAGCGATTGGGATCGCTGCTGCCATCTCGAACCAGACTTTGTGTAAGAAGTGGGATGAGATCTACAGGCTTTGGACGCAGCTGGGGATGCTCAGTTATGCCATCCAGGTGGAGAAGAAGGCCGTTCCTTCCGCCGAGCTCTTTGCGGGAATCATAGCCGAGACCGAGACGTCACTCCGCAAGCTCTTGCAACGGGCCTCCCTCTTCCTCAAAGCTGTGAAAATTCTTGGCGAGGCCAGTAACAGGACGGATCTCTCGCAAGACCAACTTCAGGCAACAAACCTGTTGCTGGAGAGGTTACACCCATCAAGAATCTCGGCTAGCTGCGTGCAAGACGTTGTTGTGGCTTCCACTCAGCTGGAAGACGAAGTGCTCGTCATGGGAAGCGTTCTGGGATGTGGGAGCTACGCCGCCGTCCAAGAAGTCCAAGCCTTCGGACAGAGATACGCTCTTAAGCTCTTCAAAGACGACGCATCGTTTGTGAGGGAGGCTGCTCTACACTTGCAGCTCCAGCATCCTCACATCGTCCAGGTTCTCGGCCATGTCGAGCTCAAGAGAGACAGCGACCTCAAGTATGGATTGCTGCTGGAGCTCATGGAAGCTGGCAATCTTGAGTCCTACATCAACAAGTCCAAGCAAAGAAGCGGCTTTGCGCCACCTTTCTCCGCCTTGGTCTGCGTCGACATGATGCTCCAGATCGCTCGAGGCCTGAAGTACTTGCACTCGCTCCAGATCATCCACAGGGACGTGAAGCCGAGCAACATCCTCTTGACCCGGGCTCCCGGCTCTTCTCCGAGCGGCCTCTTGCTCAAGCTCGCGGACTTTGGCACGGCCAAGACGGTGGAGTGCTCCGACCAAGCTCACACTTCGAAGCGAGGCACAGGATTCTACAGGGCTCCGGAAGTCATGGTTCCAGACCGCGGTGGTGGTGACGAGTTTTGTGCGAGGTACACGCTCAAGGCGGACGTTTACAGCTTTGGGATGACGTGCTACAGCATTCTCACTGGAGAGGTACCGTTTTGCGAGACCAGAGGAGTGGATATTAAAAAGATCAAGGGGAGTTGGATGAAACCAGGAGTGAGGCCTTCGCTGCCGGGATACGTAAACACACTCTTGGGAGGAGTGGTGCAGCAGTGCTGGTCTAGTAATCCCGAGATGAGGCAGTGCTTTCAGGAGATTTGCTGGGAGCTGGAGTGCATACGCTGCTATCTCTCGGGGTCCACTGCTATAGAGAGCTCGAGTAAACCGACAGCTACGCAAAGAGGTAATCTCCTCCTTGCGTGACTCAAGGGGGAAATATATTGTCTACACGAAACGGATAGTAGTTATTAAGGCTCTCCAGGAAGATATGATAGCGGGCAGGAGCAGGACAGATTACTGGGCAACCATCTCATAGGAATGCGCAGAAAATGTTTGACGAGATGGTTTTGCAGGACGCTTCCTATGATCTTGGCATGTAAATTATATTTATATATCAAATATACCACATGACAAAATATGTTTAAACCGAACCATACGGTTTAGCCCCGGTTTTTAATTGTGCTTTTGATCCCAGAGTTGGAAAAACACTGGAGGAGAAGGAAAGCCTAGCTATAGGCCAACAACAAGCTTAACAGTAATCACCATAGCCACAAATGAGGAGAATCCAAACCAGGTACATTTCTTAGTGAATGTATTATAGAAAGTGATAAATTCTTTTGAAAAGGCTTGGATTTGCTCTTGAAGGGAGTCACATGGGATGATGGCTCAAAACTGTATAGTTATATTTACTTGCATCCAAATTGTAAACACATTTTAACAATCATCAGATTGAATGTCACAATTGACCATTAATACCATTCTTGCTGAATGATTTCTCCTATTGCAAAGTCTCTATAAATCTTTTAAAGGAAGTGTACTTAATAAAAATGTATTGTCCAAATAATTATATAAATAAAATCTGTATATTCTAGAGAGTTCATGGAGTTTATTATGGATATGAAGTAGAAGTTTAAAAGAAGTGTGTGGATAAAGTTTTGCAATTTTTCATGTTTATATAACTTGTCACTAGTTGCATATGTCACAAAAGAATTTATCAGTAAAAACAGCTATATGGTTAATTTGTCTTGTGTGCATAATTTGACATCGACCATTGCTACATTAAGATAATTTGTCACTTATATGTTTCTTTAGGTTATAAACCTTGGTCCATATATTTCAAAAAGCTCAGGACAAGGATTGGGCTTCTTATGTCTTTCCTTCTTTAGAGAAATTAAAAAGATAACAAGACCAACTAATTAACATTTCAAATTTTTACTTCTAGAAGATGTTTTCTCAACTTCAAGCACTTCTAGGTAAATCTAGCATAAAAAACATTTTCAGTCAACTCTTTTCCATAAAGAAGTGTAACTTATTATTTTTCTTGCTTGATTTGATATATGCTCAAAGATCAAATGTCGTCTCACTAATTCTCCAACTTCAATACGTGCTAATAGCCTTTAAATGTTTTGCATAGCATGGATGTGATTGTATAAAAGTCTGAATCCCCATAATTGCACTTCATAAAAGATATATCAGCTACATACCAACTTTCAGAATTGTTGCACTTGCATTTTATAGCATAAAAAAGCAGAAAGATTTTCTTCAGATTACAAGCATATCTGTAACTTGTCAAGAAGGCTTATATCCTTGAATGAGATATGTTCCTGAAGTGCAAACTTCCTTAGTATGCTTGTAATACTCCTTGCAAGAAAAACCTTCAAATAATAATTTATGAAATGAATTAACCAAAGCCATAACAAAGTCATTAATTTATACATATATTTACCATGCAAAATATATCACTTCACCCATTTTTATAAGCATTCAATGACATAAGTAGTATTAAAATGAATTATGAGGAAACTGTATTCCTACATGCTTCGCCAAACACAATCTACATCATACTAGTTCTTTAAAAATAAAATAAAATCTCTTGAAAAGTAATATTTCAAACAAAGCCTACAATGGCTTTCTTCCCGTCCATCATCATTTATAATAATCCTTACACAAGAATAAATATTTACATGTTTTTCATCTATGAATTTACCATTTTCAAGATTAGAATGAGGTGTGTGGTGTAAATTATCATCTGAATATAATTTTTCATGTAAATATAATGAACAATTTCTCACATGAGGTCTAATTTTTCTTAAGGAAAATTACCCCAAGCCAAGAGTGTACGTCACCTTTGTCACCATTCTCAACCGCTGAAAAGGAATGCTTTGCAAGGAACTTATTCACTTGCAGCTCACTGGGAACGGCTTTGAGAACGATCTCATTGTCAGGACAGCACTACTGAACATAGGAAGGGCAGTAGCCTGAAAGACACAAGGGAGGTCTTTTAAGAAATCCAGGGGAAGGATATTGTTACTTGGAAAGCCATGCTCTCAGTCTGTGTCCAACATAGTGTGTACGACGAGGTGCTCGATCTCTACAGGAAGATGGAGCTCACTACCTTTGTAGATTCGAAGATGGTCGACAAGTTCATGCTGGGGTCACCACGAGAGGTTTAGAAACTGAGGATGCGATCCCAGGAACCAAGAAGAGCTTTGTCGGCAGCAGACTGGAGCAGTAGAGCAAGACTTTGGTTGACTTCGAAAACTTCAAAGGTACAATCCGTCACGTAAGCATGGAACTGGATTCGTGAAGCCTTGATCTCGGTGAACCCGATTCCTTACCCGACCCCTTGAGAGGCTTGAGGGTCGATTCCAAGAAGCTCACCGAGAAGACCAAGCATCGACGTGGTGCTTACGCTACTATCTCGCTGCTATAGAGAGCTCGAACAAGCCCCTTGGGGGAAATCTATAACCGTTAAACTTATTTTAAACGACTCAAGCCCTAATTTTGACGGTAAGGATGTGGCCATCCGAACGTTGCGTCCCGCCATTCGGTGCGAGAGCTTTGGTGCGGCAGCTATGGCGCCCAAGAAGGGCAAGGGCAAAGGGAAGAAGAAGGGCGCCGCACCAAAGCCAGACTCTGGCTGGATCAAGGTACTGCGATTTGATCGATCCATGGATTTCTCACATTTGTTTTCACTTAGGCGCTTGGAAATGGAAAATGGGAGAGACCGCTGGAAGCTCTTCCTGACCCCGTGGTTTCGCCTGCCTTTAACGAGACTCGTCTCAATTTGCTGGCGACATGTAACTTGGTAAGTTCTATGCTTTTCTTTCCTCGTTCTTAGCAGCTCAACTCTTGTTGTAGATATCTATCATCTGGAGTTCCAGAGTGGACGAGCCTTTCATCACCGAGCTCTTCAGCGTTCCTCGCCCAAATCTCGTAAGTTCCTCTTGAGTCCTCTGGGATCATCTCAAAGTTCTATCTCCAGGAGAAACTAGAGCTCCGGGGAGCCAAGTTCTTGACCAGGTATGTCATGTCGCCTTACACTGTTGCTCCAGCGCTCAAGGAACTGGATTTATCGTGCTGTGCAGCTCTAAACTATGTTTTGATAGAGGTAACTTCTCTCATTGTTCTTTTCCGGCAGACTTTGCTCACAGCGCGTGACCTTTCGCAGTCGAATTCTCTCGAGAGAATCTCTCTAGCGCGATGCGTCCACTTGAAAACAGCACACATTGTAGTTCGAGGTTTGAAAGAGCTCGATCTCCAGCAATGCAACGAGCTCGTCGATCTGATGCTTTGGAGCGATGTGATAACCACGCTTAATCCTTCTTACAAAGAGAAGATCAGGCTAGAACTCTACTGCCCCCAGCTCAAAAACTTCGAATGGCCTCCTGTCAAGGTGATGAAAACTTTCCTCTTTCTTGCCAGAAAATAACTTCTTTTTCTTTTTGCAATCCAGATCATAAAACCGGAAGTGGTGCCCCCGCCACCATTGCGAGAACTTCTTGCACAGGACAAGATCAATGAGAAATACGATCTGGAGCAACGAAAAGTTCTCGAGCCTGGATTTACTGGGACGATCGACGCACCAAAAACACCTTACTTGGCATTTAACTCCTACTTAAAGTCGCTCTAGAGCCCTAGGCGAAGGAGCAGCAGTGTTCTCCCGGTGCTACGAGATGAGGTATGACGCTTGGAAATCTCTTTCCCCTCAGAAAAAAACGAATTTTTTTGCGTGTTCTTGCGGCAGTGACCCAAATGGCGATAAGCTCATTCTTCGTGGCATGATCTTCCACGGCTACCACGGCGTGTACGACGAAGAGAAGAAATTGGGCCAAAAGTTCCTGGTGGACGCGGATGTGTGGACCGATTTGTCCAAGGCTTGCAACAGCGACAACATCGAGGATTCAATCAGCTATGGAGCGATCTACAGGTAGAAACTTGGAAGAATTCCTCCCAAAAATCGATTTTTTTGGTGCCAGGATCGTCAAGGCTGTGGTAGAAGGTCCACCATTTTCTCTCTTGGAGGCCGTGGCAGCGAGCATTGCAAAGGGCGTGTTTGAGAGATTTCCATCCGCGACGAGCATTCGCGTGAGAGTGGGAAAGCCTCACGTTGCTGTCAAAGGGAGCGTAGATTATTTGGGAGTAGAGATTTTTCGAAGAAACCCATCCAGCAATAAAGAGATTTAGGGTTCTTGGAGATTTTGTTTCTAGGGTTTTAGTTCTTCCGCGATGGCGGCCGAGGAAGAAGGCGCGGGGATGGATTCCCTGTCCGGATTGCGCATGGACATCGGCAATCTGCTCGTCTTCGACGCTACTGATCCAGGAATCGAGGAGGCGTCGACTTCCAGGTAGGGACGATTTTCTTCTCGCTCGGATGGAGCTACATTTTTCTTCTTGTGGATGATTTCTAGCGATGATTATGACGAGCAATGCCTCCGAAAGGGCGCTCGAGCCATTCAAGCGCTGGCAGAGAAGCTGTTTAACATGCCTTCTGAGGCGGATAAGTATGGGCGTCTCGTGATCTTGCCTCCTCCCACAACAAAGCTTCCTAGAGAAAAACCTGTGAGTAGAAATTCTTTCTTTTTTCTCCTTCTCATTCATTTTGGATTTGTCCTTGTAGCTCCCGAAGCCGCGGCCACCCACGAAATGGGAGCAATTCGCACAGAGCAAAGGTATCTATCTTGTGTGGTCTCTTTGGATTTGTGTATACAAGGATTTTTATTTTATTTCCCCAGGTATAAAGAAGAGGAAACGCAGCAAGCTAGATTTTGATGAAGACGCTGGGGAATGGAGAAGGCGGTATGGTTATAAAAGAGTTGCAGATGAGCGAGACATACCTGTAATTGAGGCCAAGAGCACTGATGGTAAGTGGCTTTTGTTTCCATATTTGGTTTCACTTAGCGCATTTGTCTCTCTGGGTTATGCAGAACCTGGAGAAGATCCATTCTCAAACATGAAGAAAGAAAAGAAGGCACGCATTGAAAAGCAAGAGAAGAATCGTCTCCAGAACTTGAAACACACGCTCAAAGTTGCCGGAAAATCTGCGCTCCCGAGGTAAATATTATTAGTCTCAAACCACATCGTCTGATTGTTGTTTTGATCATTAGTACTGTCCAATTGTCGACGATGGCTTTGCCTATAACCGGCTCCGCGCAAGTTCCAAAGAAACTCACGAAAGATGAACTCGGCGAGATTGCTGGACACGCAAGTACTGCTACGGCCAGCGTAGGCAAGTTTGATCGTAAGCTGGAGGGTGAAAAGCCGGCAAAACACGCAGGAAAGCATCGAAAGGTGAGATTTCTGTTCTCCCTTTTCCCTTCTGTTATTCTTTGTTCTTAACGCATAAAAAATGTGTAATACAGTTCCTTCCAGTCGTTGGATCCTCCAAAGAGGAGAAACAACAGTCCGATAAGATTCTGGACAAAGTGCTCTCCCGTCACAATCAGGAGATTGTTGATGTGAACAAGGTGAGCGATTTGATTTTCGCCTTTCGTGGCCTGGCGAACTTCTCTCACGGCGTGCTTGGCTTTTGTGTAGGCTGTTAGCAGCTACAACACATCGCAGCAGAGCCAACGCGAGCGTCAAAACATCGCTAATGGTGGCCACAGTAAAAAGAAATTCGGGCGTGGCGGCGGTACAAAGGGGCCATCCAGGGATAAAAACAAGCTGGCCGGAAGAAACAAAACCTCTAAAGGCTCCAAGTTCGCCAGAGGTAAAGATGCCAAATAGGACTGAGGACGGATGCGCTGGACTCTATCGCCAAAGTATCGACAGGGTATGTGACGAGATGAAAAGTTGTCGAAAATTAACAGCTTTTTTTCCAGATCACCGTGAAAGAGCCTGGCAACAGTCGCGGCCACCATGTATCCAGCTCCTCCGAAAACGTCTAGTGAGTGGTGGAAATAGACAGGATGGTTTTTGATCCTCCACTGCCTGGAATCACCTTTGGAAACTTGCAGATTAACAGATCAGCTTCTCTCCGATAGATAAGGTCCCGGACAAAGTTATCTCCCATGACGTTGCAAGCTAGAGTGGATTCGATTTCTCCCACTGCCGTGCCTTGCGTGGCCTGGTAAAATTCCTTTCTCGTGACACGCTTGGCTTTTGTATAGGCTGAAGCATCGCTCGCTAGTGAAAAAAAGAATTGCGCGTGGATGAGTGATCATCCAGGGACAAAAACAAGTTGGCCGGAAGAAACATGTCCACTAGCCAGAGGTAAAGCTGCCAAGTTGGGGGTATTGTATCGAAGTATCATTGTGTGCTCTTTTCTCCCTTGATAGTGATTTCTCGATCTTTGCTCTTGGTAGGACCATTGTGTCTTTATTTTTTCTCCTTTGTGCCAATACTTGATTGCCTTCCTTTGCCTCAATTATCCTTGCTTTTGCTTGACCCATGGTTTCTAGAAGTCCTCGTTGGATTGGATTGATTGAGGAAATAGCGTTTCTAGAAGAGCTCTTTTTCACCTGTTCTTTGTTATTTGTTTTCAGCTGTATGGATAGAGCTTTCCGCGACACTGACGTGTTTCATCAGGCAGTGTGTCAGATATCTCTGGAATCATGCAGCGTGATGATGCAGGCGAGGAAGGACGTTTTGTACTGGTTGTTGCTTGATCCCGCCACCTTTTATTCTCGAGAGATTCTTCCCTTGGAAGGAAAATATCAATTTGTTAGACAAGTTTTGGGAAGAAATGGAAGAGAGAGCGATTTTCCAGTGGTCAAGCCAACTGAAAGCAAAAGGCCATTGGACCACAAACCATAGACAAGATCAAGTCGGAGTTCTTTTGCGAATTTTCCATGGTACAAAACAATATGGAAGCTTCCATGGACATGCATGCACATGCGCCGGCCATGTTCCCATGCCACGTATTGCGGCAGCTTTGGCGGTTATTGGCGAGGCCTGCGCCACGTCACGCGGAGCCGACCACGTGGAGCCGGCGAGAAAATGTAACCGTAAATCCACTTGCCACGTGGGTGAGTGCATAGATTCCGACCGCCAGATGCGTGTGACGCAAGCGGGCTGATCGACGTGTCTGCCAGCGCGGCGGCCGTGCGGTGAGGTGGCGAAAGGGGGGCATAAATAGGGTTTTCATTGCCGTGCTTGACTCGAGTTCGCGCTTTGCTTATAAGCGTCGCATTCTCGCCGAAGAACAGTCTTTCCTGGGTGAGAGATTCGATGCAATTGACTTGGATCGATCGACCCACCGCGATTTCTCCCTAGTTGCTTCAGCAGGGAAGAGGATAGAGCTTTGTTTCCATTCTAGCTTCGTGTGATCTCCCGATTCGAGCAGTGCCAGGTATAAGAAATCCACTGGGCACGAAGCATTCGATCGCTTCTCATCTGGGTCTCGATCAATTTCTCGCAATCTGATCGCCAAGTTCCAAATGGCGCCTTTGCAAGAACTCATCCCGGGCCTCCCTTTCGACGTCGCGCTCCACTGCCTGGTTCGTGTTCCTCACACCAGCCATCCCCAAATGCAGCGCGTGTGCCGCGAGTGGGAGAGCCTCATCGCCAGCCCGGATTTCTACGCGCTGCGCAAGAAATGTGCCACTACCCGTTCCGCGATCGTCGTCGCGCAAGCCCATAAATCTCCCAAATCTCCGGAAGAACAGCAGCCACCAAAGGGTGCCCTGCCGCCATTTGGGCTCAGTCTCTACTACCCCAGCTCGCGATCCTGGGAGAGAATTCCGCCCATCCCGGAGCTCGGCGATCATGGCGGGATCCCCCTCTTCTCCGGCATCGCGGCGGTGGAATCGAAGCTCTTCATCGTCGGGGGCTGGAATCCCAGCTCCTTCCAGGCGATGAGGAGCGTCTTCGTGTTTGATTTCTCGCGCGGCGCCTGGAGCAGGGGATCCGACATGCCCGGCGCCGCCAGATCCTTCTTCGCGTGCTGCGCGGTGGGCGACGACTCCATCTTCGTCGCGGGCGGGCACGACGAGAGCAAGAACGCGCTGCGCAGCTGCGATCGCTACCTCGTCCGCGAGGATCGCTGGGAGCCCATGCCGGACATGACACAGGAGCGCGACGAGAGCAGGGGCATCGCGATCGATCGGTCGTCGCAGCGATTGGGTCCCAAATTCGGCGTCGTCAGCGGCTATGGCAGCGATTCCCAGGGCGAATTCAGCCGCAGCGCCGAGTTCTTGGATCCCGCCACGGGGAAGTGGTCGCGCGCCGAGGACCTCATCGACGACTCCTTGGTTTCGCACAGGGACGGCACGAATCTCTTCGTGGGCGCCGGCGATTCGATCGTCTACTGCTGCTCGCGCTCCAGCGGCGAGATCTGGAGGCTGGATTGCTGCGATCATCCGCGCAACGCGACGAATCGCTGCTCCAGGAGGGTGGGGCAATTGCCGGCTAATTGTGGCAAGGCGGTGGCGGCGTGCGCGGGCATTAGTGGCGGCGGTGTCGTGGTTCTCGGGCAGGACGAGAGGGGTGTGCTCGCCGGATTCGCCCCGCCAGATCGTCGGGATCGTCGAGATTCCGTGAGTGATTCCAAAGATTCCGCCACCACCTGGGTGGACGTGCTGGGCGATGGCGGCGACGAGTTTCGCGGGGTCGTGCAAGCGGCTTGCTCAATAGAGCTTTGAGAAAGAATGTGTGAGAATATTTTTGTGAATATACCGATACCAAAGGCTTCTCTTTTTCTTTGTCTGGCACGACCAGGCCATTTGATTGTTTAGATAGATAGAAACATTACATTGGGATTGAGGAATTTCAGGCCAGTTCATGGCACTAGAAGTTTCAGCTTCGTGATTGTGTGCATGGACCAGAGTTTTCATTTTGTCCACGAAAGATAATATACGTGGAAGTTTCAATTTCGTGATTGTGTGCATGAACCAAAGTTTCCACCTTGCACGAAAGATAATATTATGTATGGATAGTTTTCTTATCCATCCTCGGGATAAGATCTGACGAGCCTGCAAGGCTTTGTGATCAGAAATTATTCTGATGAGACTTGGATAGTGTATACGTAGAGGATTGGGGAGCATCGCTTTCGAAGTCAGTTGTGGGCGGTGATCGAGTTTAAGGTAGACCTAAAATCTGTTTGCCATGAGAATATTCTGTTCTTCCACGTGAGAGGGATCCATGGCGCAACGGTAGCGCGTCTGACTCCAGATCAGAAGGTTGCGTGTTCGAATCACGCTGGGTTCACTTTCGAGAAGATGGTGATTCTTTTGGGATATTCTCATATGAATCTCAGTGAGTTGGGATGCGACAAATTCAACGGACTCGAACGATCGATAGCTTATAATCTTTGGAGTTTCCATAGCTCCAAAATATTTATTAAAGACAGGTGACAACTAATAATCTTCTAGACAAGGTTAAAGACAAAAACTTATAATCTTTCATATCTCTTAAACGATTCGCATATTCTTCATTAAGTTTGGTCGTCTATATTGCAGGATTCCCAGGCTCCCCTCACAACCGACAGTACGAACGTTTCACCCCCCTAACATTAACATGAACGATTTTTACTTCACTAGAAAAATCTTTTCCATTTTTTGGGATCTCTGGAATATCCTTCCAGGTGAGTCGCGCTGGATCCGGGCGAGGGCACAGCCCACATTTGATCCTCCGGCGAGCATTTCCACGGATCGGCCCAAATTTCGCGAAATCAGGTGCGTTCTCTGCGCGATCTAGGCGCGATCTGGGATTTCGCGGCTCCTGGAGGGAGCTCGGCGAGATCTGGCCATGGACGCGCACCTCCGGGAGCTCTTCGACGCCTTCCAGCAGCATTTCGGCGTCGGGCCAGGGCTGGGCCGCGGCTATGGCGGCAGCCTGGTCAGGATCGAGGGGCTGGGCACCGCATTCCTCAAATCGGTGTTCCGGGCAGCGGCAGCGCTGCACAGGTGTAATCCCTGGAAGAAGCTCAGGGCGCAAGAGATCTTTGGCCTGCGCATCGGCAAGGACACCGACTGGCCGGATTCTCGCCCGCCCTTCTACTGCGTCCAGTTCACGAGCTTCGGTGATCCAAGCCTCAATCTCTACCGCAGTGAGGAGGATGCGGTGGCGGCCATAGCGGGAATTCGAGGCTTCCCGGATCCAAAGTCCATTCCAAAGAGGGGATTCCTGCGAGTGACATTTGGACCCGAGGCCGAGATCTCTCTGCCCAACAGGAAGATCATCAAGCAGCTGGGTCTAGAAATCGCTGGCGAGAAAGCGTTTCCACTCATCGACGTGGTTTCTTCTCGAGCTGGAGGTGGTGCTCGAGAAGAAAGCCTTGGCTTTCGGAATCCATCGCTGGAGGAGCTAAGGTGGCTGTACGCTTGCATGAGAGCTCTAGCGCAGATGGTCCCGGCGATCCAGGTGGTGGAGAAGCCACAGCGGAGTATCGAAAGCGTGATGCAGTTCATCGATATCCAGTGGCCAGCCGAGGATCGAAAGGAGTGGGATATCACTTGCGTGAGAGTTTCGTTTCCGCCAAAGGAAGAACAGCAGCAGCAAAACGATCAACAAGGTGGCAGCCTTCCAAAGCTGGCGGAAGTGAGCGACTTCTCGCCCGAGATGATGGACGTGCTGCTGGCATTGCCTCGCCAGTGCATCGTTTGCGAGAAGGAGGTCTCGGCCGAGAAGGCTCCTCGGTGCAGCCGCTGTAAGGCCGTGGTCTACTGCAGCCATGGCTGCCAGAAGCGGCACTGGAAGGAATCACACAAGGGGAACTGCGAGGTTTACAAGGCCATGATGGATCTCGAGGAGGAGCTCGAGTTCAAAGGCTTTGCATTCCCGTGCTTCATCGATCACTCCTGCCGCTGGCTCGAGCTTCTGGGGCTTCACGGCAAGGGGATGTGGAGGAGGATGTGTGGGTGCTTCAAGAACTGCCCGTTTGGTTTGCTTCCACCGGAGGGTGGCGAGACTGGAGCTTGGGGACTCGAGGATTCGCAACACCCGGTTGACGAGCCTGTCAAGCATTACGGCTCGGCTGGAATGGTGGTGCTATCAAACTGGGCCGACTACTACGACTTGCGAGGCCTTCCTGCCGAGAGTCCGGTGGCAGCACTGCTCTCGCATCCACTCACGGTCTACCACATTGTCACAGCTTTGAGTCCCTTCACGAAGAACCTCCTCGCCAAGAACAAGGAGGTTGTTCTTCACTACATCGGTCCGGAGCCCGAGCTCGACTGGATGCCGGCTTTTACAGAGATCTCCCATCTTTTGAGTGGAGCCGGCAGCCTTCACATTATCATGGTCGGGCCGGAAGTTCCAGGCTCGCTTTCCGGGATGACCGAGGTGCTGGAAGAAAGCGTCAAAGTAACGTACGTGCAAGGCTTCTACCAGGAGCACGCTGATTCCTTGCCGCCGCCACACCTGGTGGTGGGATTAAACTCGTCTCTCGAGAGCGATGGTAACTGGACTGGAGCTCTAGAGGTCATCAAGGCGCTGGGAGTTCCAGGATTCTTCACGGACTATGCAGAGACGTGCTGCCTCAACGCAAAGCAGGTTCTACGAGCAGCTGGTCTTCACATCAGTTACCCGCTCACTCCGAATCCGTTTCGTTCTCCCGTGAGGCACCAAATGCCGTCCATCAACGTCCCTTGGTACAGCAATGGATTCATTCTCGGCATCAACGTTTAGTATCACCACCTCTCTGGTAAGCCGAAAATGATCTCGTTCGTATGTATCGACCGATAGTAACAAAAAAATGTGATGTTTCGCAGGGAAAAGGCCTCATTGAATCGTGTTGAATGAAGGAGTGAGAGTTCTAAATAGTCCATCTGGATTGTCTGCGTGAACCTGTCAGAGTATGTAACAGAGCGAGTGAAAGGTTTGGAGATTGTGAAAGTTTTCAGACTTACCCAGTGACCCGAGTCTTCAAGAACGTGAAGATCGACACCAGCGCCTTCGTTTGAAGCGGAAGCCTCGGCGTCGTCGATTCTTTGGATGTCTTCGTGAGCCCAGCGATGCAAGCTGCGCTCGGCTCGCAAGAAATTGAGATGGACTCCCTCTGGTACGTTGTCTACCAGGTTCCTGTGACATACGTTTGTGAACAGATTTGCTGCTTTTTTGCAGTGAAAGCGTACCACAAGTTTGTATCCTCGTATGATCTGTACATGTCGGAAATGCCATTTAAATCGAATGTCCAGAATAAATCCGAGCTATCTCGAGCTGGTTTGAGGTTTGTTGTCATCCACTGTTAAAAATAAACAAAAGAAGCTTTCAGAAATTGTTAGAACTTATGACTGAGTACTATCTAACCTTCGCGATTTCCTCTGAGAAGCCAAAGTCTGTCAAGGAGTTCAACACAACTCGTCGCGAAGGTACCTGGAACGTAAACTTTGCTTGTAAGTGGCTCTGATTTTAAGCGTACCTGAGCAGGCAATCTTCGCAAGGCTTCAATGAGTTCCGCTGGATGATCTTCACCACCTCCGCCTGCTCGTATTTCTCCCGGTGTTGCATCCAGGATCCATGCCTGGAAAAAGGAAAAGGAGAAAGAACTTAAAACAAAAGCAAGAACAAAAAACTAAGAACAGCATTACTTGGACTGGACGAGCCAAAGGTTTGGCAGCTTGATCGATCATGCTCAAAACAACTGCACAGGAGAAAATGGTGTCACCATTCTGGTTGAAACTTAAACGACAGAGTGTCAACCTTTTCCTCCAAAACTGTGTCCTACCAAGATTCGTGGAGTCAGTCGTAACTTCCCTAGCTGTTACAAACAAAATTTTGTTTTCTGAGAAGCTCCATAGAACATTAACAAGAGGAACATAAGTAGAAACTTACAAGCTTAAGTACGTCAAGGGCAGAGGACGAAACAGTGTGAGAGCCTGGCATAAGCGATGAATCCCCATGGCAACGTAAATCTACGAGCAAAAACTGGCAAAGAAAAGCTTGTTTTTTATTTTTTATTTTAGTTTTTCTTTTACCTGCCATGCCGGAAATTCTTTGGCCAGTCTTCTTGCAAAGGAGGCTGAAAAGGAAAATTACAAATTTTGTTTCGCAAAGGTGATAAAATGTTATACCCCAGTTTTTCCTGCAGCCGAGAATTCCATGGAGGAATACCGCAGTCGGAGGCTCGGGTGTAGCTTTGTCTCTAGCTTCACTCCACCGGACCTGAAATGCGATAGATGTAAAACAAAAAAAGAAAAAGAAAGCAAATTCTCGTGTAAAAACCACTGAACGAAAATTATCCTCGCTTACCAAAGGGCCTTGCACCAGATCATAGGCCTGCAATCCCACATTTAATCACGTGCCAAGGAAAAACAAAGTTAAAAACCTTTCCGAATGTCTTTTACCAGAATTGGGCTAATCTTTGGCCTGGAAAGAATAACTTCATCTTGAGTGGCAATCGTCATCTGGATCCGATAACATACCCTCGTCCGCAACGTGCTAGATTGCAAAATCTTTGCCTGTAGGGAGTGATCGAGAAAAGAAAACAATGTGGAAGAAAAGTTACCTTGCTGTGAGAACAACCTAGCACTGAAGATCTTGGACCCAATGGCCGCTGAAATTCTTGCGGAAGAGTCCCTCCAAACATGGCCATCATAGTGTCCATCCTCAGAAAATGTAGGGGGTGCTCTGGTTCTGCATCCGCTCCTGAACCTGAACCTGGACCTGGACCTGTATCAGCACCCGCACCCGCACCTGTTTCCTGCAGCTTCAGACTGTTGCTGCATGCCCCCTCGGAAACAAGTGGCGATGCGCTCCATGCTTTGTCCCCACCACACGAAGTTTGGTGTTGACAAAACGGTTCAACGCGTTTCGAACCCAGGACCGACCAAAGCACAATTCTCTGATTTATGCTCTGCATATTATGCACAATATGTAAAGAGGTTTTATTGCAGGAACATCAGGATGTTCCAAGTAGTCAAAAAGCACTCGTACTTTGTGTGTTCTTAGAACCACACATTGTTACAAATGTTGGTGGATCACATGAAAATGTCGTGGGCAGGGTATGGGCACGATAAGGACCATCTGCCAAGACATTGAAATCCTTGAAATAAGAACACTTGCAAGCGCTGCGTGTTCTTTCTCTGTAGAGCTTTGTAGAGGAACGAAGTCATGGAGCTGCGACGCCTTCGTGTGCTTTGCCTCCACGGCCATGGTGACAATTCTCGCCAGCTCCAAGCTCAATTGAGCGCTGTCAAATGGGACGATTCGGTGCTAAATCTTCTCGATCTGGCAAGAGCTTTCTCTCCTTTTGCTTTGTTTCATTTCTTCTGTAGTACTTTGCTTCAAATCTCTTGAAAGCTCCGTTTTTCCAGAGTTTCCTGGATGCTCCTTTTCCAGTGATCGATGGCGAAAAGAGAAACTTTGCGCCACCATATCTCGAGTGGTTTAGAGGCAACAAGGTGTTTTATAAATTGTTCCTTTAGCTTTCCTCTTTCCTTCTAATGTTTCTTTGTGTGATCCCAGGAAATGACCATTGTAGATTATAAGTCATTCGAACAAGGCATTTCATGCATCTCTCGATACATGAAAAAATGCGGTCCTTTTGATGGATTACTGGGAATGTCCTTGGCAAGCTCTAAATTTCCTTTTATTGTTAAGAATATTAAGTGTTTTCTTACAGTTTTCTTATAAATTGTCTAGGGAGGTATTGTTGCTGGGGCGTTGGCTGGAATGCAACAAACCAAGGTTTGTATGCGCATATCATGGAGAAATCATTTTAATATTTTGTTGCAGAAATCTATCCTTCCGACCGAGCTAAAATTTGTAATTATAATATCTGGAGGAATTATTCGATGCCAGCCACTATGTAAAGTATATGATCACCCCATACATTGTCCATCTTTTCATTTGATTGGTAAGAAATCTACATTCATATGCATTTGTTCTTGGTTAATCCATCACTTAATTTCAAGGCGAGCTAGATACCATATTTAAGTCAAGTGGAGAAGATCTGGCAAAAAAGTTTGTGAAACCAGTTATTATAGTTCATCCTTATGGCCATTGCTTGCCTCCACTCGGTAATTAAATATATAAGCTTGTTTCTTTTAATTTTAACATCAGCTCTATCAGACAATGCCTCCACTGTAAGCCTTGTTGAGTTTCTACAAGATATTATTAAGGAAAACGTTATGATTGAGATTAAAGAACACAGTAAATCATCCTTGCTCATAGTGGCAACTGCATTTTGTATACTGGTGTTCCTCTACTTCATCTTTGTATGGAACTTCTAAGCTTAATAAACAAATTTGCCTGGAGTTAAAAATAATAACTCCATCCAATTTTTGCTCCATCACAAAGTGACCCATGACTACAAGATAGCAAATAAACTGAAGCTCTAGTATCACCTGGCTTCAATGAGATCTAGGTTGCCTTCTTGTTTTAGGTTCACCAAGATTTTCCTCACATAAAGAGGGTTTAATAGCATCATGAAATGTTCTCTAAACATATAGAAGTTCTTTTGTATCATTTGCTTATAGTGAGATGATTGAAACAAACCTGTTAGTGATTGCAATGCAGTTCCTTGAATGCATATAAAGCCAAGTATTTCTCTACTCAAGACTATACAAAACTAAATTTCAATACATGTTTACAATCAGAATTATATAACCATACAACACTTGATAATGATATTGTATTTGCAATCCAGATCAAGAAAACACACTATAAATAAGAAATAAAAAATACAAAGAAAAGGAACTTAGGAGATTTACTTCATTAACTCTAAATAAAATAGCTTTGCAAATTTGACATATAAAAGGTTCTCCATATATTGCTTGTAAATGCAAACAAGATAAAAAAGAAAGCATCAAAGTGTTATTTGAACAATTTAAAATGCCAAAATTTTATGGGGAAAAAGAATTTTAAAGTATTAAATTTCAAATGCCTCTTGGATGCATAAAAATATTAAAACATTAATAGTATTCAATTTGTAAATATATAACCTCATTTGATTTAGTTTTATATTATGTTTAACTAAAAAAAATATTATATAAAGTAGAAATTCTATTTGTGAGGTTTAAGTGTACAGTTATAATGCTATATATTAATATTAGCGTAGTGGGATTTTGATAACTATCAGATTGGTTTTAATTCGGACCACTCACTCTTATATATAAACTAAGGTTTTTGGGTTAATTGATATGCATATTTTCTGTATTTACTTTCCATATTCCATACACTCATATTTGTGAAAATGAAGGGCACTTTTGATTGTCCTTAATGAGTGTTTAAATTTGGGATTTTGGTTTAAATTTAGCTTTTGCATTGTCTAGATCTAACTTTTTCCATTTTCTTTCTTTTGTTCTTTCCTTTCAAGATTTTGGTTTAGATCTAGCTTTTGCATTGTCTAAATCTCCCTTTCCTTCTAGCTTTTTATTCATGTCTGATACAATGGTTTGAGCATAGTCACTCGTGGGGATTAAAGTGTTCTCTTGGACGTCTTCAAACGTGCATTCGGACATACTGACGATTATGATAATGCCTTTCAACAATTACATCGTCTTCGTCAAGGGCCATTTGAGTTGGTGATGCAATTTGGTGTTTGTTTCCGAAGCCTCTTGCTTCATGTAGAGCTAAATATGTAAGAGTGGATCAAGGTAGGAATGTTGTGGCCAACACTTTATCAAAGTCTTATTAAACTTGTACATACACTTGTTTCAGCCACCCTTGATGATGCTTTACTTAGCACAACATTATAAGACGTCACTTATTCCATTTCTCGCTGCATGTCCTTTAATTCCACTTCTTGTGGGTGATGGTCCTGTTCCAATGGAGATTGATGCTATTATTGCTCGAGTTCTAGGACAAAGGCGAGGACGTAGTTATGGCCATGATGTTTATTGTTGGGTGTGTGATAAAGTTAGTCACACTTATTGGTGTTATCAGCATTTTCTAAATTGGCGGCCACCATTTCCTAGGTGGAGACCTTGGCATCAACAATGGTGCTGCTGTAGTGGAAGGTCTTGACATCGAGATGCATCTAGGAAACAAGGAGTCATGCGAGTAATGAAAGGATCTTGCGTGAATAAGTCAGTGACGCCTCCATCTTTCTTTCAAAAGTATCATCAAGGGGTTCACTCAGCATTAATTCATTCAGTGTTTACTTTCCAAGCTTGTTTTTATAATAAGTAGTCTCTTATTCTTCTCTTCATCTTGGTTGATAAAAGTTTGAGTTTATCTTCTATTGTTTGACCTATTGCCACATATTGCCGTTTACATTTGCATCATGCAGTGGAGCTAGTTTTCATTCTTTATGGCAACAACCATACATATGCATATACACGGGATGAGGTAGACTTAGTTGTGCGTGTGGGTGATTTTGAGCTTGGGTTGCAATCATTACGAATGGTGCCGAATCAAGCTTTTGACCTTATCTTTAATATGGATTAGTTGCAATGCAATCATGCCAAATATGACTTTGAGGCTTCTCCTTTTTGTCTCATACTTCTTTATATTTCATCCATTCCTTTCACTTTCATATCTCTTCATCTTTTTGCTTCTACCTCTGCTTCCATTACTTTTGTCCCCCCCACTACTTCCTTCTATGTTTCTGTTTTGTTCTGCTCTTCTTTTTTCCAATCCCTCTGATAGTCTTTGTGTTGTAGCGGTTGACCAGCTCATGAAAGAGTATTCTGATCTCTTTAAATTTGACCTATCATCTGGGGCCAAGATTGCCACACGTCATTCGATTTTAACGGGGATGCTTATCCAATCAAGGTTTCTATTTGTCGCCAGTCACCCAAAGAGATCAAGATTTTATATGCAAAAGTCAAGGAAATGTTGAAGAAGGGTGTTATTCAGAAGTCACAAAGTCCTTGGGCATCTGAATTTCATCTTGTGACAAAGTCTGATGGGAGTATTCGTCTTTGCATCAACTATCGTCCATTAAACGAAGTGACGATCCCAGATATGTACCCTCTTCCTCACACTGCTAATCTCTTAAATTGTCTAAGCTAAATTTTGCTTCTGGGTATTGGCAAGTATCGATGGCTGAAGAAAATATTCATAAAACTGTTTTTCATACACAATTTGGTTTATACGAGTTTTTGGTGATGTTGTTTGGTTTGAACAATGCTCTAGCAACTTTCTAGCAAATGGTGGATGAGGTTCTTTATGATATGCTAGAGGTAACTATTAACTTCATTGATGGATTGGCTATGGGACATTGATTTAAAGCTGAAGCGATCAAAATGTTTGTTTGGGTCCAAGGACACAATTTATCTTGGGTATTGTATTTTTCGTGAGGATTTGCAAGTTGATTTTGACAAACTTGTAGCTATTTTAACGTTCCCTACTCCGAAGTGTGTGAATGATGTGTAGCACTTCCTGGGCAAGGTGTAGTATCTCGGCCATTTTGTGGATTATCTTTCTGATCACATTGCACCGTTGCAAGTGTTGCTGAAGTCATCAATGTCATCTTTCATCTGATCTCTAGATTATGAGTGGGCGTTCATGGATCTCAAAGAGATATTGACAACTCCTCTGGTGTTGGCATATCCTGACTACACTCAACCTTTTATTTTGCACGTGGATGCTTTTAATATTAGTCTTGGAGGTGTGTTGATACAAGAGAGCCCAAGTGTGTTTACTTAATACCATCCCATTGCATATATAAGCCGTACATTATAACTAGTAGAGGTGAACTACTCCACAACAGAGAATGAGTGTTTAACAATAGTTTGGGATTTTGAAACACTTCATGCATATCTATATGATTCTCAGATGTTACTAAAAAGTGATCATGTTGCCATTACTTCATTATTAAAGTGGAAGAACTTAGTTGGTTATACTGCTTGGTGGGCTTTGAAGTTTTAGATATATGACTTTGATGTTATTCATCGCCTAGAGAGTTTTATGGCTGATGCTGATGCCCTTTCTCAAGCTCCTCTTCCTTTTCCACTTTCTTCTCATGTTTTTTACAAGCCTGTTGTTCCAACATCTATGGATTTTTTAAACAAGGATTTTGTGCTGTCGGTGGTTGTTGTACTTAACGTTTAGTGTCCACAAGGCACAGAGCAAGATCTACCTTCTCTTGATAAAGTTTGCGAGGCTCAAAAAATTGAGTTGTGGATTCGAAAGCTTCAAAATAGGTTTGAAAATCCTATATCACTTGCTGATGACTTGCCTTTTTGGCATTTACATTCTCAATATCGCCTTGAAGACGGCCTTCTTTATTTGTAGGGATGGATTATGATGATCATTTATGGCTGGTGGTGCCTTCTGTCTTTATTCCACGGTTTCTCTATGCCTACCATGATTCTTTTGTTTTAGGTGGGCATATGAGACATCGTCGTGTAACCGAGAAACTGTGCAGGTCTTTTTGTTGGCCGGAGATGCAACGTGATATTATCTAGTATGTGCGTAGCTGCGTTTGGTGCTAAGCTCGTAATACTCCTCCTGGTGCCGCGGAAGGACGGTTGAAGTCAATTGCAGTTTCCCGTCCATTTGAGTTTTTGGCGTTTGATCTTATTGGACCTTTTCCACAATCGACTACTGGCAATGAGTATGTTATTATTGCTTCTGACTACTTGACTCGTTGGGTGGAAGTTAGTGCTCTTGCTAGCGCTTCTACAACTGCTGTTGGATACTTCCTCCTCAATTAAGTGGTGTTCTAACACTCTTGTCTAGAGTGGATTCTTTTGGATACTGATATTGTATTTATAACTGAGGCATTTTATATTTTCACATCTCAGTTGGGGATATGCCACACTTTCATAAGTGTTTATCATCCACAATCAAACAATTTGGTAGAATGATTCATTCGGACGTTCAAAGGGATGATCATGAAGTACATATACTTTTAGCATTCAAATTGGGATGGTTATTTGCTATCTCTTCGGTATGCATATATCACAAAGGTGTAGAGTTTTATTGGTGTTTCACCATATAAACACCTATATGGTCATGATCCAATATTACCAACGGAGTTGGGTTTACCTTCGCGATTGCCACGAGCTGCCGATGTTAGGTCGTGGGATCAGTATTTGACGAGCATTCTTCCACTTGTCCGAGTAGAGTCTGCCGAACACTTAGGCCGCGTATAAGTGGGACAACAACGATGCTACAACTCCCATCATCGTCCACCTATAGAATATAAAATAAATGACTTAGTATTAGTCTACTTTCCCTATCTTACAGTACGTGGTTTATCTAAGGGGCTCCTTGCTCAATGGAAATGACCGTCTCAGGTGTTGTGGCAAGTTAGACCACAAGTTTATGAGGTTCAGTATGACATCCAACAGACCAATCCTCCAAA